CGGGACTCTACGGGCACACTACGGGACTCTATGGGACTCTACGGGACTCTACGGGACTCTCCGGTACTCTGCGGCACTCTGCGGCAACTTTCCGGCAACTCTCCGGCAACTCTCCGGCAACTCTCCGGCACTGTCCGGCACTGTCCGGCACTCTACTGCACTTAACAACACGCAACGACACTGTACGGCCTTTGATAATGCTCGAAAACGCTCGAAGAATGCTCGATAATGCTCGAAAAAGTTCTAAAAACGCGTGAAAACACTCGAAAAACGTTCGATAACGCTAGTAGGGAAATGTAAAAATCATACGCGAAGTGACTCGGCTTATATCCGCAGTTAGGTAAGCCTCGGGAGGATTTTTCGCAGTATTCGACTCTCACGCATACTCGTCGAGTGTAGCGCCGAACGCACATATATTCAACGTCTCGACCCGTAGCTTGGCGCTTGGCTGGTTGGGAGGCGCGAAGATTTCTAGGAGCGATCGCACTCACGCAGATTCGTTGCATGAGAGTTCCGTACGCGACACCGATGCGTGCCCCAAAGGTCCGCATCACGTCGACTTCGAGGCAACAATGTACTTAATAGTAGTAGATAAGTAGATAAAGTCAAATGGAGCGTCACGAGTGTTCTTCCCTTACCATCAAAAGCGAGCAGTGTCGGTAAGCGTAGATAAGCCACCACCGTCAACTGCCACATGGTATTACCATCACGAGTACGTGAGCCGCAAACGGCGACTGGTAGATGGTACCGCCATCGCGAGTGCGCGAGCTCGTATCAGAAATTCGTTGCGCCGCCCTTGGGGGCAAAAAACGATGAAAGCTAACGTACGAAACCAGAGGGCAGCACAAGATGCGATCGCACGATCCTGCCCGTGAGCAATCTCCCAACTCATCTCTGTTATAAACATCCATCTTGTCCATTTGTTTCATCCCATAATTTACTTTTTGGTCTTCCACCTTTGTACATTTTCATGAGCTGAAATCACTTTGTTGAAATCCAGGAGATTCAGATGTGGATGCAATGCTCCACCAGTACTTAATTCCTCGATCGAGGTATCTAAAATAATGCACAATGTAGAAATAGACTGTCCATACACCAACTTGACAAAAAGGAAGAAATTAAGTTGACGTCGATAAAACCAAAAAAAAAAAAGAAACAGGTAGATGCATACTTTCAATACTGGGACGGTACGGTTACTAAGAGAAAAAATGTTGAGGCTAGCCATCGCAACACCATGTGCAACAAACTTATCTAATTATATATATATGCACATATATATATATACTTCTTCACAGCATCATCGGCAATACAGATCTTACAATAAAGCAAAGCAAAGTTTATGTAAACATCATTAATATATTAAAGTATTAAGTAATAACTCGAAGGTATCTTCAGGGACAGGCGGGAGGAAATTCTTGGTCAATATCAACTGTATTTATAATATAAAAAAATTGGAAATGTCTTTTAGGAGGTCTTGTCCGAAACTGCAGTCAGGACTCCATGCTACGTTTCGGACAAAATCTTTTTTTTTTTTTCACGCTCGCTTATCCACTAGTATAAATCTAACCTCAATTCCTTACGAATCGCACGATGCAGAGAGATATCTGTTCGTCGGGCGTGCCCGACAGTAAGCGAGTCGCATAATGTTACATTTTGTGCCACGTCGTAGCCGTTTGATTTTCCTCGACAGTGTCTATTTCTAATAGCGCACCGTTTTTTCATAACGCAGCCCGATGCGGATGCGAGATCTTCGCGAGGAGGCCGAGGAAAGACTGGCGACAAAGGAGCTTGACCAATATTTACACAACAAATCCCCTGACCCTATGAAACTTTTCCAGCCTCCTCGGAGGGACTCGCGCGGTTTTGGCAACAAAAGCCAGTCCTCTTGCGGTATTTTGAATTTCCAAAGCAAGCGAATCACGCGGTAATTGCGGCGGTCATAAATACACGGTACTCGAGACACGGGAATACACGTCGCAGCAGAGACGGCGAGAAAAAACAGAGAGTTAAGCGGCGCTATTAAATAACCAAATCTATATCGACACGCGTGTGGTAAATTAAGGGACTCGGCACGAATGAATAACCTCTTTAAGCGAGGAAAAAAATGGGAGATACGTTGAGTAAAATAAACGAGTACTTTTTTTTCGTAGCCTAGAATTATGCCTGTTAATTGTTACATATGCGCTCTTGGGACGACAATCGTCGGCATTAACCCGGTTAAGGTTAGGATTAATATATCGTGAACGTTCAACAAGACAGATCGCACCGTACGGAGCGCGGCTCCTGTTAATCCGCAGTTAAGTCTGTCGTTTAATAGTTTTTATAGAATATTTTTATATGCCCCAAACCGGAGCCGCGCCGGTGCGGATGTCGACTCGCTACCTTCCTCCTTTTCCTTCATTTTTTTTTTCCCGTAAAGTATATCAACACTTCTTGACAGACTGGCAAAGAAATATTACTTCCCGTTGTCAATATTTTTAAACGAGTCTTTTATGCCACTCAGAGGCTAACAGGCGTTGCAAGACATGTAACTGCATAGAGGTTATGCAAATGTCGCACGCATTATGCATGAGAATTACTTTACAGGAACACGTCACATGCGTTTCTCTATTCCGAGATTCCCCTAACTTCCCTTTCTGCCTTGCGTAATAAATAATACACGGGTTTTAAGCTCGTGCTCTCGAACGTCTGGTGAAAGCCCCTCGTTCTGGAATTTGAAGCTCGGCTCTAAACATCCAAGGGGACTTTTCACTTCAGTTCACTACTCTCCCATCGAATATGGGAGTAATTAGGACTTTTCTTCTTTTTTATCTCTCGATATTACGAATGTACGCCGGATTAACTTCTCCAACGCATCTTCGTTGGCCTATCTGCTGCCCTAATCAACTTTCATCTCCTGAATAATTTAAAAAACAAATAAAAGGAATGCAAACGAGATAGACTACAGGGAAGATCCCATCGTTGAAATGTCTAAAGAAACGGTTCCTATCTTGGCGTTTTTGCTACTTATTCTTCTTAAATTTCATAGATTTTTGTTTTTCGCATCGAATGGTCTTTGCAAGTATCGGAGCATCTTGATTGAGATTTTCCTTTTTTCTTTGTGTTTCCTGGTGTTTTTTTTCTTCGGACGATTGCTCCTGTGTTTTACATTTACAAGCGGAATGGAGCTCTCTGGTCTATCGGCGTGGGTTTTCCTTTTCTGGAAACTGGCGTCGTAGAGACAGACGTGTCCGAAGCTCCTGAAGGCTTCCTCGATAATTTCGTGCTCGGAGGCAGAGGTGTGGATGTCCCACTGGATGGTGTTGCTTTCCTGGGTTGCAAGAAATAGACAAATAAATAGAAATAGATATATCAAGGATACATAATTCTAGAGCAAACAAAAATGAAGGAAGTAAGGGAAACCTGTTGTGCAATAGAGAAAAAATTCACAAAGTTGATTGATAAGCTGAGAAATTCTTCCACTGATGGAAAGTGAATAATTTGACCAGAATTTTTTAAGTTATTGGTCATTGCCAAATTTGAATCTGAGTTTTAATTAATTTTCATTTCGGAAGGAATTTTTTGTTTCTTGTTAAGAGGAGATTTGGATGTCATTGAGGAAAACGTGGAATGGCTTAAAGGAGTTAATAGGTTATGAAATGCATTTTAATCGAAGCGAGTTTAAAAGAAAACGAATTATAAAACGCATTTCACAACCTATTAACTCTGTTGAATGGTATGACATGGGAATCATGAACACTTTTTACCTGGCTGCTTGCTTTACAGCCGATGGGATGTTAGTTGCTGAACTTGTACGGACCGAGCTGCTCCTACCGTTACGGAAAGACGATGTTAGACATAACCTCGAAGGAAATAAGCTCCAAGCGGTGACAATTTCTCAAAATGATCAAAGCTTTGTTAGAAGTTCACTTAAACTAACCTTAAATTCTGAATGTTTACAGATTCAAACAGAACACAGAAGGGATGAATAAGTTAAAAAGAAGAGTTGCAGGCGAAGAAGCATGCGAATTCTCATACAGGACAAAGAAGAGACACAGGAAAAATAAACGAAAATGGTCCATGCAATTCTTTCCGAAGCACAAAAAATGTATACGTTTGCTTGGCAATACTCCTGCAAATCTCGGTGCATGGGTTTGAAAGAAGTAACATCAAAGTTCCAGGAGAATTATTTCTAATGAAATACTTAATGATCGGTTGTAGCATCAGTAAAAAAAAAAGGGGGGGAGCGGTTGTAGGAGAGAACCAATAAAAACAAAGGATGAACTCGAGCTGAAAGAAAACCGCACACTCAGGTAGCCACAAGTCCGGAGAGAAAATCAAACCACGTCACTCGTAGTATACACAAGACAAGAAAATTGGGTACACAATTGGACATAGAATCGGGGAGCCAGGCATACCCAGTAGAATCGGTAGAAATCGTAGAATGGTTGCTTTGTGTCGAATGAGTCGAAAAATTGCTGGTTGTTGACTGCGGGGACTTAATGTCCGCTCCAACGTATACAGGAATCCTAGAGCGACTAAACCATTAACCATGAAAAAGTCAGTATCGTGCTACTTGGTAAGAATTCATTTTTCTTACAAGAATTAGCTACTTAGGATGAATTTTAATCTGGACACAAAGGAGTTCTCAAATCCGGACGGTCATCGATAGAGCGTATGTTAACTAAGAGAATTAATAATGCAATGAAAGAATAAGTGTGTCTTTAGCATTTCTTCTAACATATTGCTAGAAATAACTTAAGCAAATTATGTAAATACAAAGAGCAATTCCACCAAGACTGCATTCTTTGTTTAAGCAGAGCTAACAGGTGAGATTATTATTTATGATGAGCATGACTGTAAAATTATGAAGTAGTCGTAATTTAATGTTTTGCTTTGTAGGTTAAGAAAAAATTATATTACACGATCCATGTATAAGGAGAAGTATTAATTTTCAAATTTGTTTCCTTCTCTTTGAAGAATTTCGCAGCAGTGATAAGCACGGAAGTTAACGATACCGCCACCAATATTAGCAATGAACCATATAAAATATATCGAATGTCAAGGAGCGAATCTAATTGAGCTGCAAGATGGACGTGTCTAAAAATCATGTGTTATCGAATTAATAAGTGTTAATAATGCTTTACCTAATCGGTGTTCCGACACCAGAGAGGGTTGGTATACTCGAAGCTCGATGGATCGAGCTCAACCTAAAAAAATGTTGTTACATCCAGATTTAATAAACTGATAATTTCTTTGAACGAGTGAAATATCAATCCTCGTTTAGTTTCGTCTTCATTGGTGGATGCAATTAATCGGAAACGTTCAACTGAATATTTTTGAAGGCACGTAAACAAAATGTCGCTCAACCCAAGAGAAATAAAAAAAAAAAAAGAAGAAATAAGATACAAGGTAAACAAAATGCAACTTATGCAATAAATACGGTGTCAATGACCATCCTGAAAGGGCGATTAATCTCGGTAGAATGTTAATATGTCATCTACGCAATACTAGTTCAGTGTACGACTCAATCCTTAGTACAAGTTAGACCGTTATAAATCTCAATAACTATTAATAATGCAGTATGCATGTTAGTGACTTGCCTAGAAAGGTACTCTCTTCGAAAAGAGATTAACTTCTGCGCGTAAACTGATTATTCATTGTTATGACTTTTTGTAGTGATGACAAACCTGGAAGGAGCTCCACTCGCAGGACTGACGAGACCTGTTGGAGTTCGTGGACGAGAACTGGAGCCGTTTACAGGAGCTCCCAATCTTCTGCCAGAAACGCTGTTATGTCGACTGGATGTCGGTGTATTACCAGACGTGCCTACAGTTCTGCGAGGAATACGGCTAGGTGTTCCCGATTCATCTGCATAAATAAACAAAAATGATATAATCACTAACAATAATTTAAAAAACATTAAACGTAGGATTTCCGTTGCGCAGTGAATGAGTGCAATTTATAATGCATCGGAGTCACTTTTCAAGGTACCGATACATAAATACTTATTTACGTAGCTTTCAAAGCTTTTTTCCTCATGTATCATTAATTCTAATTTACTGATCTCTGAATTTAGTGTGGGAAGAATAACATTCTTCAAGGCATCGGAGCCACAGGTTCCGAGGCATTAATTCGTAAGTATTTATTCATGGACATCGGTGGGTGATTCCAAGTTCCATTCATCGTTGCCTATTTTTGTAATGTTTTAGTGTCCTGATCTTCATAATTTTTACTGACCAGTGCTGTCCAGGGACTGAGTGGATCCATATCGACTAGCTGGCTTGCTGCCTTGTCTGGATGCTGGTCTGCTGCTCGGTCTGCTGGTTGGCCTTGAAGCCGGCCTTGAAGCTGGTCTGCTGGATGGTCGACTGCCTCCTAAAAACCCGAAGAGGTCCACATTTTGAATAGTCAAGTCGAGGTCTGGACACAGAAATGCAGGAAGTAATTATACGTACCTGGAGTAAGCGTACTTCTATACGGTGTACTGGTTTTCCTTGACGACAAGCGGAAGGAACTCTCGTTGTCGCTAAGGCTGTCTGGAGTTCCAGCACTCAAAGAAGATCTTGAAGCTCTGGATTGACCCATCGGCACGCTGCGAGCACTTCGTTCCCTCACCTGTACGTTTCCAAATCAGACACGTCGGTGAGAGGCGGCACTTAATCATTAATCAGCAATATGAAGTATCACGGAAATCCATCGAATAATGTCGTCAGGATGCAAGAACCACGTCATCGGATATATCAGCATCATTGCTTCAGACAATTACAGTGAACATAATTAACCAGCAATTTCAAAGTACTTCTTGCAAATGCCTGGAATTTATACGTAAAAAATTTCACCGTGCTTGTAATCATTTCTTCGAGGCGTTACGATTAGATAATGCCGTTCGCGAATGCTTCTAAAGGTATTTGGCGCGAAACTCTACCGAGTTTCCTGATAGCTCAATTTCTGACTGGACGTGGACTAGTTCGGACGACAAAATTTGTAACAGTTTGTAAACATTTCTAAAAAGGTGTGTACGTACCTACGGCTCCTACCAATACCGATACGAAAAACACTCAATTTTAGTTATGGTAAAATGGGAGAAAAAATAATTAACTAAGTGGAATAATAAGTGAAGAGGTGTGGGAAGGACGGTCTTAAACTTTAAAGTTCTATCCTGCTTGTTGCTGGTACTCAGTTTTCTGATTTTCGGCGCGAAATATTCTGTAAGTTAATACTTCTTGGTCGGAATTTTGCAGATTTTTCAATTACAGTTCTACTGGTATTGAATTTAAATAAGAGTGTGGAGAAGACACGAGGGGGTTAAAGCGGGTCGACTATGGGATTTTACCATAATTAAAACTGAGCCATTCACAAATTGCATGCAAACTTACCATAAGTAGTTGGGAGAGGTATAGTAGCTTATGGTGATTCGAAGTGTCGCCGATCAACGCCACTATGCACGCATCAATACAGTACATCATTATGCATCGTCAATGATCTACATCTACAGAAGATTTCGTTCGAAAGAAAAAAAAAAAAAACTCCAAAATGACTCGTCTCGGTTAGGCTGGCTCCGTAAAGAGATCCCTGTTAATTTCTCTCGCGAAATTTCAATCATAAATACCGAAGGCCAAACCGACTCGACCCTCAAATCTGAATTAAACACTTTTTGGCAGACTTCATTGAGGCAAACAAATGACAAAACCGAACGCAAAGTAAGGAAACGATACATAAAAACAACGAAAGTCTAAGAAATAAAACCAAACATAATGTATGATGCGTGACGAGTGCGCAGACTACTCCAAGCCATCGGACAAGGTTTTCGAGTAAAAGGACATTCTTGAAAAATTAAACGAAAATAGGAAAATCTACTAAAGCTATTCTTCGCACGACAGACACTCCAACGAAGCGCACTACAAGGACACGTATCATCTTAAGGGCACTCTTCTAATCAGATCACACATTTCACGAAAATCGGAAAAGAAATCACACGTACAGTTTCCAAAAGCGACCGACAATTTGCGCGGTTGAATTTCCCGAAATCTAGCGAACCGATTATTTTTTTATACACTTTCTTTTAATCTAAGAAGCTCGACCTGCGTCGATTAATGCACCTTTACCGTGGCAATTTTTAACTCAGCCATTTGTTAATGAATATTCTTTATAAAATTGTAAAATTGCAAAATCCAACCGTGCGAAATTCGTCTCGCGAGGGGAAGGGTCACATGCCGAATTCCCAGGCACAAATGATAAGACAAGGAGAACGTAAACTAAGGGAGAAAAGAAAGGGGAGAGAAACACCGTCACACTTGAAAACGACTACCCGAGTGCCTCGGATATTATCAATTGAAAATTCGTTATTTACCCAGTGATAAGAGGGTGCGTGCATGTGGAGAGGATACGAGCACGGGAGGTCCTCCTTTTGCCTCAAACTCTCAAAAATCGGCATCAGCTGGCTCATAAACTCCTCCGCTACACCACAAATCAGAGGTTTAGGAAAAATTTCGCTTGTCTTTCCGTTCGGGAAGCCCAAATGAAGCGGTCGATTAAAGGTCGCCACGTCAATTATTCCCTCGCATCGATCGATGATCAATGACCACCGCGATGGAAATATTTAAATATCAGAGACACGACCAATCGAGAGCGTATTAATTCCGTAAAACCACCGCCACAATTTCTAATTTAATATTAGCCTATAGTTGAAATGAAAAGAAAAAAAAAAAATTAATCGGACCAAACGAAGTCTGTCGAAAGACTCTCCCCCAAAAAAAAGGAAAATAAAAATAAAATAGGCAATGTGAATTTACAGGCGTAATTTTGGGATTGCGTCACATCTCCTTTTCGCTTTTAAGAAAATTCGCCAATGGGATTTTTCCGCTCTAGTAAATTATTCTTTCTTTTCTCGGCAGGCTTCATCTTTCGGAGGGAGTAAAGAGACGTTTTAAGATTTTCGGATTTTTGGGGAGATTTTGCGATGCACCGATGCAGATATAAATCTCGCCTCTGAGGTCTTCCTTTATTATTTTTTTTTTTTTTCCTAGGGGCGGGAAATCACGTTCCTTGAGACTGGACGATCGAATCGGTCAAATCGAAGAGATCAATTAAATATGGACGGTCTTCGATCGATCGATCTCAGGGACACCCTCGAGCCCAGGAAATGGGATTCCCGTCGGCGCAGAGATGCATCGACATCGGTGCATTCCTAGTGCATGTGAATCTGAAATCGGAGCTACTGTAAAAACGGAATCTCCTTGAACGTCGCATCTCCTGAGGTGTACAGCCGGCATTCTTCGGGACCGATATCAACGATCCCACCACCAAAACTCAAGATATCCTTCGCAAACGTCTAAACTCTACAGAGGATGACGACAAAATATATACAAAAAAAAAAGAGAAAAAGAAACAGCGATAACCATCAATGAAAAAAAAAAAGAGAGAGAGGTCAACTACGAGTCAACTCTACGACACATGCACGTACTCTATGTACTCTAAGTACTCGAGGGTACTTACCAGGACGAGAAGCACGCCACCGATTTCTTGATGACGTCAAAGACACACAGAACGAGACTACACTCGACAAATGCAACCATGTTCCATTTTGTGAGAAGAGTCAGTTTAATTAAACATAAAAGAAATACCCGTTTAATTTTAGAGACTCATTGAGTGGGCATTAATTCATGTTTTTGCAGGAAAATACCGGGAAAATTCAAGTATACTGATCTTCTCACGGTAGAACTCGAGAGAAAAAAACCAAGATGGCCGCCGCGTCTTTCGCGGCGCCAGTTAAGCAGGATTACCTTCGTCGTTATTAAACGACGAATGTAATCTAGAGCGGAAGGAAGCGGCCTAAAGTACACGGAAACTGAAGTATAAACTATTTTCGTACGACCTTGTCCTCGTGCGAGTAGGTTCTTTGGTACCTTTTCAGGGCCAGGGACTTACCTGAAGAAGAAGAGTCGCTCCAAGGTCGTAGACGAGCAGAACAAGAGCGAGAAATGCCTTTGTGAGAAGAAGCGGCGATTTTCGCGGATGCAAAAAAGAAATGGAAGATGTTACGGAAATCCGACGTAACGCCCGAAGATTTACACTTTCCCGGATAACGGCTGATAAGGCTCGAATCACTTTACAGGTGCGGCATAAATTCATGAGGGTTTTTAAATTGCAAACAAAAAAAAAAACCGCACGTATTTATGCCTTGGCCCAATAATTTTGTCTAGAAGATGCGGCATAAATTCATGAGGGTTTTTAAATTGCAAACAAAAAAAAAAACCGCACGTATTTATGCTTTAACTCGATAATTGATTCTTATGGAGGGGTGTATAATCGGAGTTTAAATTGAGTCTTCTCTTTTTTCTTTTACTTTTAGACGCCGTCTTCTCACCTAGGCAGGAAAAGTGTCCTGCGATGAAACCTCGGACTCGAGATAGAGGAATCGATGTCGAGTCCGCGGTTTCCTGGTGTGCAGGAAAGAGAAGCAGGATTACCTTCGTGATGGGGCCAGCGGAGGACATTGTCGAACGTTGCAGAGTCGAGGTCGGGCTCGGTTTGGATCTGAACGCTGTCATAGTTTGGCTGACACCATCGGCCAGAATGAATTGTTCCCGCAGCTCGATATTCGTTCTTCCCTTGGCTACAGTGTGTTGCGTGCACGCAGTTAGTGGGAAGGCGTTTAAAGGAGATGCCAGGGATGAAGGGAGGTGCCGATAATTTTTTACAGATAAAACGGAGGAGAGGAAGCAACGACAACGATTTACGGGAGTTACGTGGAGGATATTTAAATCATGAGGCGACGAAAGAAAGAAGTGATAACCGAGGTGTGTGAATGAAAGAAAGAAAAAAAAAAAATGAAGAAATTTGTCCAGTGTTTCGAAAGGAGGAGAAGGACGATCAAAGGGGGGTAAGAAGAAATAAGGAATAATAGTTAATGATTTTCCAATGTTCGCAGAGGTGATGAGGAATTTCGGCATGGTGGGAAGGGGAATAAATCATTTCAAGTCAAGGGTGATGAATTAATATGGAGAAAAAGTGTATGGAGTCGCGAAGTGGAACGGGGGGCGGATAAGAACGGGTTCGTGGGTGGGTGTAACGCGCGCGTGTGTGTGTGGTGGAAAGTAAACAAAGAAAAAGAAATCCATGGCTTTAGAATGGACCAAAGAAAAAAAATCGGCGACATACTTTTAAAATGAATCAAATTGGGAGATTTTTGGGACTACTACAGGGTCGATGCTTCCTGCAGACTCCGAGGAGGGAAGACGACTCGCGATGTCAAGAGCAATTATCATCTGGTTAAAAGACGCTATAAATGTATTTCTTTTTTTTTTCTTTTATCGCGTCTCGGAATCCGCGATCGGCGCCGACTCTGTGGGCAGGTTCTAGTATTCTACATCAACCTCGTTTGTAACATGAAACGAACCTATTTTCTTTACTTTTTACCGAGGTATAGGAAAGCGCTCGTTTTCTAGGACCGATCAGACTGGTTTCATGCTCCAAACGGACAACGAAAGACGCTTATAGAACTGTCACAAGTAACGCCAACACCATGCTGAAAAACTGACCGAGGTATAACACAATTACGCTAAGGTGGAACACAAAATCGCTCGGAAGAAACCATACCCTTCGATGAACCGGATCCGCTCGTATCGTTATAAACGTTACGTATGTACTTCTATGCAAAGAACTCTAAACTGTCAACTCTCTCGAATCAGCTGATCGAGCAGAATCGACCGCCTCTGTACCGCAAAGGACTACCAACGATAAAGAACAGCCGATCGCGAGCCTCGTCCAAAAACCGCCGACCAGCCCGAGTTGTCGAAACATTCCGCCTGTCAACTCTCCGTTAATGATTAATGCAAACAGTCAATCCAGTCAATTAATCGTCCGCGGTTTTCGAGTTCCCAGAACGAGTAGCCCCTTGTGTTAATGGTGTGGCGTTAAGTGCGGCCAAAATCCACTCTGTTATCGGACCGCAGACTAGTCAATTGTCGTTAACATTTAAGCACAGTTTTATGGTATGTCTAGGGTAAGGAACCGATTTTAACATCCTTATCAATAAACATGAGAAAAAGGAAGATGACAATGCAGAGCCGAGGTCCGACAACGGATGAGATCCTGGCCAAGTGTCCGTGTAAATGGTTAAACGTTACGAAGGATGTGAATGCGAGTGAAGCGAGTCGCGTGCGACAATCGGAGGGAATGTCCTTCTCGAAGGATATTGCATTGTCGATTAAGAATCCCAGATTGTAAGTCGCAATCGCTCAATATGATATGCGGCGTGACAGCGGTGTTCGTATCTACAGCTCGTGGCATAAGTGCGGCGTCGAGAGAACATCGTAAATGGATGTTTTCGCGGTGATCGCGGATAGATAAAAAATATTAACGAAAACCCCGATGAAGATATAAGCCTTCCTTCGCGCGAGAACAATGGCCACGTGGATAAAACGTGCGTGTAAGTCTCACCGAGAGGACACCAACCCTCGTGCTGCTCCGGCTTGTTGGGATCCGGTATCGGCATTAGAAAGACTTGAAAGAATTAATTGTAAAGAAACGAAGATAACGAGAAATGGAGCGTGTCCAGGACGGGAGGCGCATGCACGTATACGTGACTCGGTGGACAACGAAATAACCGGGATTAAACGAAAGATACATTGATAAGACGTCGGGGTAATATTGATAAGGGTGTGTCCGGGGTCGGGAGGGGTGGAGTGAGAGAAAGCAATAAAGTCGATGTTAGTACAGGGTCGATTAATCACGTATTAACTACCAACTATTGTCTTTACGGCGAGGCCGTTACGGAGGAAAGCGTCGATGATGAATTCTTTGGGATAATTGGAGATATTGATAAGATTGATAAGACGCTATCGCGAGGAAAAGGAAAATAATGATTTCCTCCGGAACGGCCCCTCCACTCCTCTCCTAGCAATCGTCGAGAAAACCAAGGAATACCAAACCAATTTCTAAATACCCACTACCAGGTTATATTATTGCAAAACTAAGCGAAGCAAAGCGAGCACACACTTTCTCGAACCCCTCCATTTACACCGAGGTCCATCCACGTTATCGTAAGAGGCGACATTTTGGCTTTGCGATTAATGAACGTTACTTCTGTTACCTCAGGAGCTGAGATCATTCACACAAGTGCGCGTTATCGGGTTATACAAAGTTAGGGCCAGACTTTCCCCCAAGGAATCGTCAAGGACTATCGATATTTCCGCACTCGTTAAAGAGGGTTTCCGGTGACGTCGACAATGGGGTCTTGGATAACGCCGATTAATTCCTACAGCTAGGTCAGCGGAGCAAATGAATGCCGATGGACGTGAGAAAAATTGTTAAACACAACGGGAACGTATATATATATATATATAAATATGTATAAAACATAAGGGGAACGATCAAACTAGTCGTTAACGCAAACAAAATCAACTACCCTAGGTAAATGGAAACTCAGTCGAACGCATACAATTAAAGGTGAAGCTGCCTCGTACGGGGAGGTAGTATTTCGTTATGGCCAGATTAATTATCTCTTGGCGGTTAGCCACGTCGTATTAGTACTTAGTAATTAGTTGGGCTGCGAAATTAGTCACGTTAATTCCGGACGAGAGAAAACGGTCGCGGGTCTCGCAACTTCAAGTACTATGAAATTTAACACAGATACCCTTAAGGTGACATGAAAGGGTCATCTCTGTGTGTATAAACTCGTAGAAATGTTTATAAAACTTTTTCCAAACGTGATTATGTTAACCCTAAGAAAGAACGTGGTACTTATGAAATATCATTTTTAATAAACATTTTTTTTTGTCATTCATCCCAGACTAAGACCAAAAATACATTTTCTTTGTACGGATTTTCATGAGCACCCCGTTCTTCTCCTTAGGGACTTCGTAATCAAGTTTGGAATGATTCGGTGCGCCCAGTTTGGAGAAAAGTTTGATAAATATTTCTTTCGTGATATATGTAGAATGACCCTTTCCTTATCATCTTAATTTGCAGGAACGAGACGAGCCACGAATTAGCGCCCCCTGATCGGACGGATCGGCTGGACTCGGCCGAAATCCCGCGAGAACGATTTGCATTTATCACTCCTTCTCCTATTATCGGGTAAGTGTTTTGTGAATCTTGAGAGATACTCACCGCGACAGGGGTCGTTTTTCAGCAGGAACTCGTCGAGTGCCACCCAACCACCGCCGACACGCACCATGACGGTGGATCGTAAAATTCGCACCAGACGCAGCTTTTGGCTGTCTCCAAACTGAAAAGAGATGGTCAAGGAAATAAGCTCGAACTCGCCCATCTTTGGCAGTCTAAAGTTTCGGAAACTCACCCGATACTTCCCTTCGCCGACCTGGAACACTCGGAATTTCTGTCTACAGGTGCACAACATGACAAGTCGCTTAACTTCGTCGTGAATCTTATCGGTGTCGTTGTAGGTTCGTCGTTCCTCCCAGTCGGGTCTGAGAGCTGCTATGAACTCTTTCCAGTCGATCAGACCTTCGCCCTGGCGGTCAAACAAGTCGGCTACGGCTCCCATTTCCAGCCTGGACGTCTCGAATTCTGTGTTATGAAAACAAATGACGATTTTTAAGGTACATCGGAACATCCCATGCTTACCAGTGTTAATATAATAAATCTGGACCGCGCTGATAAGGAAAGGAAAGCGTTATCATAATTTGAAACCGAAGTCGGAACCGATAATGTTCCCTTCTGGTCCTTTTCGGCTCCGCTTCTGTTATCATTTATATATGAAATTAATTAGTTATTATGTATATTCGAAATTAATCATCAGTCGAGAGCGTACTCGTGTTCATGATCCCTTGAATGAAGTCTTCCCTCGGGATCAGTCCGTCGTTGTTCTTGTCCATCTTCCTGAAGAGGTCCGTCAGCCTGGATTTCTTGTGGTTCATGAACTTGAGGAACTGAAACCAGAGTTTGCGGTGAATTTCCCGATGTTATGGAAACTTATTAAAATATTTAATAATGAACAAACTTACCCGTTTGCGCCAGTCTTCCCAGCTGAAGTTGGCAACGCGGTCCAGCTCTTGGATGTAGTTGTATTTATCCTGAAGACGACGCTGACGTTCCCAGGCGAGGAACCAAACGTGTCGCCAGCGATCCCAAAGCAGTCTTACTCGTGGACTTCGGAATTCCGGTTCGGCTCCTTTGCTGCTCGTTTGCGGAAAGATTTGCATTATTGTTACTTCAAGGTTTCCTTTCTTTCAGTTGCAAGCTAAATCTCTGCGTGGCCCGAGGACCTTATTTCGGAACTAAAGCGAAGAAGATACTCGGCGCAGTTCATTTTTATCGCCTTAATTGGGGAGTTGCGACTACGGATGTTAATTATCGGGGACACGGGTGATAATAGTGGAACAAAAATCGGATACACGAACCTTCCTTTAGGTGGGAATCGTGGTCCAATGTGGGGCAATGTTGGATCTGGCGTTCTCTCACGACCTGGACTGGCTCGGCTAAACAAGAACATGCGTCAACGTCACTCAAAACACTCTCTACTCGGTTCTGTATTCTTCATAGTAGGGCTGGAGACTCGAAATTGTGTTACAAAACTGTGTTAAGAAATCTTTCAATTTGGTACTTGGTGATAAATTGGAAAATCGGGTAAACATGGTAAAGTAATGGAGATTCCCGTGCCTCGAAAAGTACGTCGCATGCCATGAAACAACATAAAATTTGTACCAAGGTAAATTTGTAATATACTAGCAAACGGTAATGTTGCAACTCCTGCTTCTTTTTTTTTTTTTTCGTTCAGGACAAATCACAGGTGTACAGAAGCGACGTGTGTGAGTTTTGTGTAGCATCACGAAAGCTGGGGTGAAGAGGAAGATGAAGGGCTTGCATGTACCTTCCATGTCTCGACGGCTGGGAAAGGTCTCGGCTGCCCTTGAAGCTAAACACCGACAAAGCAACACACAGGGTTCTTAATTAAAGCCTTCACTCCTCACTTAAGCATTAACAATTAAGCTCCTCTCTATATAACGTCAAGTTTGTAAGATATTAATATGAAATCAACTCTCAAGTACGGGTAAGACAAAATGTAGGACTATTTTTCACAGGTGAGAGGCACTTCGTTCATGAGAGTTATTTATAATTTTTCATAGAGTGAAACCGTATGTTTGTTTAATTATTCAGGATAATTTATGCTGAGCGATGACGCACCTTTGCTTGCGTAGCGGCTGATGATCGTGATCATAGTCCTGAGATTGATCCTTACTGCTGGCGGTGGCGCAAAACACACAACATGCGAAGACAAATATTTATTTAACGATTCAACATCGCAAGCCACGGGTGACACGTTAAACAATACACGACTCGACTGGGTAATGAGTAAAAAATTGGGTATCCGATTAAATCCGAACAAAACATGCCAGACCACTCGAGGTACATAACAGTTTCCTTAGAAACATAAAATGAACAATTTCATCAGGGTGCAAATTTTATATCTATTAATTTAACTTTAATTATTAATGATAACAAGTGAACGAGAATACCCCATTGTTGGCAAGGCTTGTTAAGACGTACTCCAGTCGATAACATGATGCTAACAGAGAGACGACGGGAACAAATAATGCAAAGACGTGAACACAAAATGCAAAGAACTGTGCAAAAAAAAAATGTACGTACGTCGTCGTGGGCGTCTTCGGCTTCGAGATTTTACGGCCGTCCTTGATAGGCTTGATCTGTCTAGCTTTGCACACCCTATCGACTTCGTTCTGTCGACGACTAGTATTCTCCATGAATTCCCTGTGGTCAGAGATCAGCATCTCCAAGGTTGGCCTATCATCAGGGAGTGGTTCAGCCTCCAGAGCATTGAGAGTGTTCTCCAAGCCCTCAAGCCAAGCAAGAAGCTCTTCAAGGAGGTTATCAAGGTCCTAAAAAGATACATTCGTCAATGCATCGTTTCTAAGGTGGGAAACAGTAATTAAGAGAACTGGAAGAGGTACCTGAAGACCCTGCATATGGTTCTCGAGTCGTTGGTTCCTCTGGTGCGCCCAGGTGGACACCTCCTCCCATCTGGACTGTATAATAGTGATCCAATGTTTGATCACTGCAGCCCCATCCGGATGCGACTTCGCGAGGATGGTGTGAGCCAGCTCCAGGGTGTTGTCCTTCTCGACCTCTTTAGTCTTGAGTTCCCTGAGGAACTTCTCATGCTCCATCAGCTGGTTTCGACTCTCCTGCTCGTCTTCGGGAAGCTGACCAGCGAACCTGAGCTTCATCTCTGCATCGCTTAGCCATTCTAAGAGGACGTGGACGGCCTTGTGCAGTCTCTCAGCCTCCCTCAGGGCCTCCTCCAACCTGGTGGACTTGTTGGACGACAACCTGGTCACCTTGTCCCAGAGGGAATTCAATTCCCTCAGCTGGGCTCTTATGGTACTCGCGTCTTCAGGGTCGGCCTTCGACTCCAGCTCCCTTCCGGTCTTGATGACCGACTCCATCTGCGAGGCCCTGGACTCCAGGTCTCCTTCGAAGGATCTATGCTGCTCAACGAGGTTCGTAACAGTATCAAGGTCGCCGTGAAGAGGTCCAGTGTTCGACAGCTGCTTCTCGGTCTTGCTTAGCCAGTCCAGAAGAGCCTGGATGGCGTCCTTGAACTGACCAGAGAAGAGCAGCGCCTCTTCCAGCTTCCTCTGCCTGTCGACGCATTTGCCACACACCGTGGTCCACTTGTTCTTCAGCTCGTTCAACAGCTCCTTCAAGGCAGCTTCGTCGGACTTCGGGGCCTTATCGTACAGGATTTTGCCGCTCTTCATGGTGTTATCATAAGCGCCCTGCTTGGCGCCAAGAGCCTTCTGGATCTCCCGGTGTCTGTTCAACCTGGACTTGATCTTTTCAGGATCGTTGCCGCCGACTCCATCTGCAGACACCTCGTCGAGGGTCCTCTCCGTCTCCTCCAACCAGGTCATCAGGTTCGACCAGGCGTCGTGGAACTCTCTGGCTTCTTTATAGCCATGGTCCAACGCCCTGGTTCTCTCTGCCGACTTGGAGACCACCCTCTCCCACCGGTGTTGCACGCTCACCAGGAGGTTCTTTATCAGGATCACGTCCTGCTTCTGCGAGAAGTACTTCAGGTGCGTGCCCTTCTTGTCTAGATTTAACATGGTCTCCCTGTGCACGCCGACGTCCTTCTGGAACGCCTTGTGCTCCTCTATCTGCCCCAGGATCGTCTCCATGACCCTGGACACCGGCTTCAGGTTCGTCAGTATCTTCTCGGCGTTCGTAAGCCAGTCGACGAAGGCCTGGAGAGCGTCGTGGAACTCGGTGGCCTCCCTCAGGGCGATTTCTAGCTTGATCTTCTTATCGCTGGCTCTGGCGGTTACATTGTCCCACCGTTGTTTCAAGGTCCTCAGGTTGTGGTTCAGCCCACCCGCGCTGCTGGTCCCGGCTCTCTTCAGGTACTCCTGTCCCTGCTGGAGAACCGTCTCCACCTTCGGTCGGTTTTGCTCCAGCTCGTTGTACACCTCCATGAACCTCTCCAACTGCTCCGATGCGGTCTCCGGAAGACCTCCTACGGGTTTAGAAGCCACTATGGTGTTGTCCACGTCTCCTAGCCACGATAGCAGGTCCTGGATCTCGGCGGTGAAGGACTGCGCTTCCCTGAGGGCATCCTCCAGCTCCCTTTGACGGTCTGCAGCTCGCTGCAGTAAATCTCGCCAACGGCGGTTCAGGGTTCCTAGTTTCTCTGCCGTCGTGGAAGCTTCTGCAGTGCCTTTCCCATCCTCTATCAGCTGTCTGCCCGCGTCGTTCAGAGTGTCCACGCTTGTCTGGTGAGCTTGGATGTCGTTCACCAGGACCTTCAGCTTGGCCAGCTCGACCTCGATCACCTAAGAATAAGGATTAACCAATATAAGCTCTCTCACTCGCCAAGATCATTTTGATACCAAGTACTTTCCGCATCGATACTTGACATCTTTGAAAGTTATATATATATAGATTCTTTTAATCCTTCCCTACCTGGGGGTCTCCGGCGACAGGACGCAGGTCGTCCAGGGTCCTGTCGGTCTTGTCTATCCAGACGAGCAGCTCGTCTAGAGCGTGCTGGAACTGGCCCAGACGGAGAAGAGCGTTCTCCAGGAGTCGCTGACGTTCAACCACTCCTCTCAGAAGTCCATCCCAGCGCCGATTTACGGCTCCCAGGGGCTCCTTTATCGCAGCCGCTTGTTCCGATGATGTCCTCTCGGTCAGCTCTGCTGCTTGTCTGTTGATTACCACAAATATTCGTTAATCCCGCTTATTAGAATCAGACGTATCGACAGGCTCTACTTGGTTCGGTCAGCTTAAGCTAGAATTAATAAAACCGACATCGACGTCCCGGGGTCGCTCCCTTTTTTTGGCGTTGTTTTTTTTTTTTCTATTTTCTCTTTTTAATACCATGGCCGAGAGTGTATGTTGGTGTCTTTCTCCCTTGTACTCCTCGTGTAGCGATGCACCTTTTTAACATGCGACCGCAACAATTGGTAAACAATGGCTAGTGCAAACGATCCCTTGATGGTTTTTTCGCTGCGAAATGCGACTTAATTAAAATCACCGTGAGTAAATATTTCCTATTCCTTCCTCCTCTTTTAAACTCATTTAAAATGCATTTTGCACCCTATTGATGTTCATTGTTAACGATAATTCGAAGCGATTTGTACTTTGTGCAGTTAAATCAGTACAGACCGGTATTTATCGCATTTAGTAAATTCTTTTAATCTTCTAGGTGATACGAAACAAGGGATCCCTTGCACGCCGCCATTACACGTAACGACAAAGTACTGCTCAGGCTGCAAACTCGTACATGTTAAGAGTACTCTGATTAATCTGCGAGTATTAAGTGATCCGCGGACCGGTGTCTGAGACAGTCCGGGAGGAAGCCATGCTCTCTAACTACCAGCGACAGAGCACAGAGATGTTCATCAACAAGACTTGCCTTGTCAGACTCCTGCGTATATCGGGAACCAGCAGAAAACAAAAAGAGAGGTAATTAGAATCGGCGTATCAACCTAGAACCTAAACGTTCCTTCCAGGGTGCACCTAAGGCGCTCATCGAGAAGAACGAGAAAGTCTGAATAAATGGTCACTTCAGGCTAGCCATGAAGAGCCACCCAGAAGAGGTGAAGTACCTGTTGAGGGCCTCGACCTTGACCATGTGAGGATCGACCTCGGTCTTGAAATTGGCGAGCTGTTTGATCTGCCTCTTGACCTCGTCGATGTCGCTGCCAAGGGGCCCCATGGCGGCGAAGCGGTCTTCGGCTTCTTCAAGGAACTCCAGCAGGTTCTGCAGGGTCTCATGGAACTCCATGGCCTTCTCCATGGCGTCTATAAGGTTCTCCTCGCGTCTGGCATACAACGCGGTGACGTTGTCCCAGGCCTGGTCGAGGTCTTCTATGTGCTTCCGGACTTCCGGTTTGTCGGGTTCTCCGCAAAGCCCCATGAGCTCGTGTCCGGAAGCTCGCACCTGCTCGACATCCGGCTTGGTCTGATCAATTTCCTGTCTGATCTCGTGCAGAGCGACTTGTTGCTGCTGAATAGCCGCAGGTTGAGCGGCAGGTGGAGCCTGGCCTGCGAGGGCGTCCTGCAGCTCCCTCAGGGTGGACATGACGCCATTCAGCTCGGACCAGAACCTCTCGGCAATCGCCAGGGTGTCGTCCAAGGTCAGCCCTCTGTCCGACGTGGCTTTCTGCACCTCCGTCCACAGTTTGTTCAGCTTCTCCAGCTTGCGTTTGATGTCCTTTACCGCAGGATCTGCCCTGTTCCCGGCCTTGCTGATGACATCGTCGGCAGCTTTCCTGACGGCCGCATAGGCTTCGGACCTCTGGGCGAGGTCATCGGCCAGGGCGGCGTTCTCCTCCATCTGGTCCCTCAACCTCGGAGGATGGGCACTGACGGGCTCGGCTCCATGGACCTGGTCAGCCGTGGAGGACAAAGCCCTCAACATGCCTTCCAGTTTGTCCGAGAACTGGGAGGATTCCTGAAGAGCTTGCTCGAGAGCCTGTTGGCGACCCCTGAGCTCGGCTCTCAGCGCGGCGTACCGGGCATTGTCGTTGTCCAGGACATCCTGGACCTTCACTCCCTCCTCCTCGTTGCAGAGCTTTATGAGCGCCTCGCCGGTCTTGTTGAGCTTCTCGACCAGCGGCTTGTGCTCGTTGATGCTCTGCACCAGGTATTCGTTCTTGTCCTGTTGGGCGGCGATGAGGTCCGGCCTGAGAGCCGGCATGGGCAGCATGGCGATCTGGTGTTCGGCCTCTTCCAGCCAGCCGACGAGACCCAGGTGAGTGTCCCTGAGGTGCTCGGCTAACGGAAGAGCCTGTTCCAAAGCTCCCAGCCTGTCCGATGAGAGGGCCGACACGATCTCCATGGTCTCTCTCAGGTCCTCCATCTTGTCCCTGATGGTCGAGGTGTCTTCGTGCTGCGCGTTCTCCCGGATGACCTTCTTCGCGGTGGAGATGACGTCCCTGACCCTGCCCTTCTGACTCGAGATGTCGTCGTTCAAGGCCTTGTGCTCCTTCAGTTGCACCCTGATGATCTCCGGCTCACTGCTCGGCGGCTCGGCCTCTCTCAGTTGGTTGTCCACCTCCCGGAACCAGTCGAGCAGGTCGTCGATGTCGCCGATCACCTCCAGGGACCGCTGCTTGCTGAGCTGGATCCGTTCGGCCTTCCTCTGGATCTGCTCGGCGATGGCGTCGAACCTTCTGTTGTCTCGGGTCACCAGACCCTCGATCGTGGCCGCCCCCTCTCCGGGGGAAATCTGGCACAGCTGGGGACCCACGGTGTTGATTTTGTCCAGGACCAATCTGTACTCCGAGATCTCCATCTCCAATCTGATGATCTCCTCCTCGCGAGGCTCCGCCGATTGCAGAGCCGACTCTGCACCCTGCATCCAGTCCATCAGCCGGTTGTGGTTGTCGTGGAACTGCTGCACCAGGGGCAGCGCCTCCTGGGCGTGTTTCAGGAGGTCGGACCCCCGAGTCACCAGGTCGTTGAAGTGCCGCTGCAGGGAGTCCAGCTTGTCCTTTAGACGCAGGGCCTCGTCGCTGGAGATGTGCTTCATCAGCTCCAGCCCGGAATCCGTTGTGCTGTCCACCTCGATCTGTCTGCTGGAGACCTCCTCGGTCAAGTCGGCCAGGTCCTCCATCTGCTGGAGGAGCTTCTCCGTGTGCACCGCGAGGATGCGGTACTTGGATAGTCTCAGCTCCATCCCGTCCATCCAGGCCTGGAGGTCCTGGTAGGTCAGGACCAAGTGCCGAAGGCTTTGCCGAGACCTCTGGAGGAGGCTTCCTAGGGCCTCCGATCGCTCCACCAGGGTGGCGTATCTGTCCGCGGCGTCCTGCAGCTTGTCGGCCAGGGTCGCGGCCTCGTCCTCACCTACCAGGCTCATCAGGTAGCTGGCGATCTCCGTCAGCTCGCTGAAGTCCGGCTTCTTGGAGAGAATGTCGTCGTGCAGGACGTCGTGCTCCGAGACGCGCTGTTGGATCTTCTCCTCGTCGGTGGGCACCAGCTCCATGTCCTTCACCTTCTTCTCGGTTTTATCCAGCCAGATGGCCAGAGGGACGAGCTTGTCCTGGAACGTCTTCGCCACGTTCATAGCCCTCTCCAGAGCGTCCATCCGCTCCGCGGCTCCGTCGGTCAGGTTGTCGAACCTGCCCATCAGGTCCTTCAGGCGCTTCTCGATGTACTTGCGCTCCTTCGGGTCCGCGCCCCCTGCGACCTCCTGCCCCATGTTGAAGAGCGACGACATGGAGTTCTGTCTGTCCAGCAGCATCTTCTTCAAGAACTTCTGCTCCTGTAGTTGGGCCTTCACGACCTTGTAGTCCGAAGACGGGGGTTTCTGGTTGGCCACCATCTCTTCGGTGTCCGCTAACCATTTCTCAAGACCCTCCAGAGCTTCCTGGAACTTACCGGACTGCAGCAGCCCGACGTCGAGCTTCCGGTCGCGCTCGTTCAGCTGGAATTAAATTAATAATCAACATTAATAATTAATAACAATTAATACCACCGTCAGAAATATTAACCGGCGCGAGATATCTCCTCGCCGAAGGTGAGTTACTGATTCTAAGCTGAGTATATACATCTACACACCCTGTCCTTCAGGTCGTTCCACTTCTCGTTCATCTTGTCCAGGTCTTTTTCGATGTTCCCGGTGTTCACGTCCCTACCGGCGGTCTGTACCAAAGCCTGGCCCAGGAGATTGCAGTCGTCTACCGCGCGACCGATGGGCTCGATTTTGTTCGTCTTCAGGGCCCTGAAGTCCTCCTGCTGAACCCTGATGGAGTCAACCTCCGACCCCACCGGCTTGAACTTCTTTACCTGGTCGCTGGCCTCGGCGATGTCGTCCATGACGTCTCCATGGGCGTGGTAGAATTCCTGGAGCTTGTTCAAGGTGTCGCTGAGCTCGTCGTCCCTGTTCCGGGCTCGTTCATCGAGCTTGCCGAGGAGTCTCTTCAGGTTGTCGACCTGGTCCCTGGTGGCGACGGCATCAGGGGCGAACCCGGAATCTACCAGCCGTTCCCCGGAGCCCACGACGTCGGCCACTTCGTCGGACAGTCGGTTGATCTTTCCTATCACCTTGCCTATGTCTTCGATCTGACCTCGCACCGTTTTTATGTCTCGACCTGGAGCTTTCATGGAGTCCAGCTCCTTCTCTACGGTCAGCAAGTCGTGGCTCAGATTCTTCACCAGGTCCGTGAACTGCGCCACTGCGGTAGCTGCACTTTGCAGCTCGCTGCACCTGTCGTCCAGCTTCGCCTGCAGGTCTTCTATGCGGTCCGTGATGTTGTCCACCTCGTCCTGGAGATGACTCGCGTCTACTCCCTGTTCCCCAGCCTTGTGCATGAGGTCGTTGGCCTGCTGCCTCACGGCGAGCAGGGGCTTCTTCAAACTCAGCGTCTCTTCTCGTAAATTCTGCAAATTGAAAGAGGGAGAACGTAAGCCTAAGTTGCCGATCCTAAAATCCACCAGTCGATTTTCTCTTATCTTGCCGTTATTATTAAATAACGAGATTACATGGAGTCAACATGGGTACGTACCTTTATTCTGTCAAGAAGTTTAGGGTCCTTTGATGCTCCGCCAAGTGCGTCGTGAGAGGCCAACTTATCCTCGCAACGCTGCAAACCATGCTGGACGTCTCTCAAGTTCTCGTTGAAGTCGGTCAGATGTCGCGCCGTGTCTTCCAGGGATTGCGTTCTCTCCAAGAGGTCTGAAACGAGGAAACACTTCAACATATCTTCCGTTTTTAAGGAAGGAAACTTCCTTCAAACCCGATTTCGAACAATTTTTGACATTCGACATTTTGTTTGAATAAAAAATAAAATATATATATAAAAAAAAGGAAATTGAGGGTAGAAAAAGGATACCTCGAAGAGGACTCTGAGCATTAATTTAGGAAGATCGACCTACCATTGTTCAATTTGTCCCATCTTGTTCTCATGGCCGCGAGCTCGTTCTTCACGACTTCCTTGTCGATGTCGCAAGCTCCGACAAAGGTCTCACCCAGAGTTTTGTTATTTTCGAACTCGCCAGACCTCTTCCACACCTCGTTCCTGAAGGACGAGAGTTCCTTGAGTTGTTTTTCGATATCCTTGCGTTTAAACGAGGCCGGCTTCAGGCTCTCCAATTTATCCTCAGCTTGTCTCAGCCACGGGAGGAAAAGATCCTGAGCCCTGTAGTACTTCTTGCAGTGTTCAGCACAAGTCTGAAGCCTCGTGTGCCTGTCCACGGTGTCCTTCTTCAACCTATCCCACTGAGATTGCATTTTGTCAAGGTCTCGCTGAAGAGCGCGGTTCTCCGTCTTCTGGGGTCTTCCCAGGATGTCGCGACCCTTGTTGAGCAACATGATGACCTCGTGTTCCTTGCCCATAACGTTTCGGTAAACGGGCTGAAAAATTGAAATGATGATTATTTAAACGACTCGATAAAACAGGTCAATGTTTACACAACAGTCAAATTATCAGTATCCGGTGCCTTACTTCATGGTGGTCCAGCTGTTGCTGAAGAACCTCTCTATCGGCCGAAATGAGCAGCTTCTCGGACATGTTGCCCAGTTCGTCGGCGAGCCAGCCAAGAGTTTTGCTGCAAGAGGCCTCGAATTGTCTGCCGTCCCTCAGGTTGCCCTCGACCTCTGCCTTCCTGTGGTCCAGCTTCTTCTGCAGGTTGTTGTACAGCTTCCCAACAGTGGCAAGTTTACCCTGGATCTCGGACCTGGAGGCAGGGTCGCTCAAGACCTCGCAAAGCTGGGCACCGGCTGCTTCAGCATCTGCAAGAAGAGGTCTCTGGCCTTCCAACTGTCGCTCCAGATTCTCGATTTTTCTCAGCTGCTCCTCAGGGTCCTTGTCCAGAGGGAGTTCGTCCAGGTTGTCGGAGATACCCTGAAGAGCGTCTCTGAGTCTGTTCAGACTGGCGTCGAACTCCCGACTGGTGTCCACGGCGTCGCCCAAGCTTTGGGCTCGCTCGTCCAACCTGGCCAACTGGTCGGACCATCTTTGGAGAACGTTGCTCAATTTCGCGCTGATCTTCTGCCCATCCGGAGACTCCACGCTGACCCTGGCCAGGACGTTCTCTCCGACCTGGACCAGGTGGTCCAGCTGCGGCTGCTGGGTCCTGAACTCTTCCCGAAGGACCTGCACCTGTTGCACCTGGCTGGCGACCATCCTGGGGTCGGAGGAAATCGGACCCAACGCACCCAGCATCCTCTCTTTTGCTCCCAGCCAGGAGTGGAGACCCTCGTAGGTGTCGTGGAACTCCTTGATGTCCTCGAGGAACTTGATCCTGTCCTTGCACCGGTCGGAAATGGACTTCCACCGACTGGCCACGTCTTCGAGTTCGTCGTTCAACCTGTCGACGCCTTCGGCGTCCTTCTTACGTCTCACCAGGTCTCGCACCTGCGTCCTGGTGCTGTCTAATAACGACTGCTTCTCGTACAGCTCTTCGATTACCAGCTTGATCTGTTTGGCCGTCTTGTCAGCCTCCTCCTTGGTCGCGGGGATGATCTCCTTGGGCAGCTGGCGTTGGACCTTGAAGAAAGGGATATCAGAATTTCAGGGTCCTGATTTGGGCGATTACAGAGATACGGCCACTCTGAAAATTGTTAATGCGATGATCTCTACCTTGTCCAGGAATTGGGAGAGCGTCTTCAGGTTGTCCAGGTGTTTCCTGAGCTCTTCTTTGACGTTGTCTAATTCTGTCTGCCTGTCCGCTAATCTGACACCTAGCAAACTGTATCTGTTGTTAATTTCAGACAGTTGCTGCTGAACCGGCGAGAGCTCTTCCAGATGGAAGCCATCCTGGCTGGATCGCCGGCTGCTGAATCCGCTGCTACCACCTGGGGAGACCGGACTTTGAACCGCATAGGTCTTAGTAGGGGATGGTGAGCGACCGTCTTGTGACATTCGACGTACTACAAAAAAAATGTTAGAAAAATAAACCGACCAATGATCTGTGCTGTGCTGAAAGTATAGCAGAATAGGATTGACAGGTGAAGTAAGTGCAGATACGCGAGAGCGTCGATGATAATAGAAAAGTGATAATTGCGGAGAACAATTAAGGTGGCTACACGCGTTGGTCCAGGTCGCGCGATTCATAACATTGCAGCATTACATGTGTAGCCACCTTGAAATTTCAGAATGACAATAGACGAGGTATATGACATTTTCATGATAGGAGAACCCTGACACGTACGGGGGCTAGTGATGCTGGACCTCTTCGTAGGGCTGGTGCTTCCTCGTCTCCTGGTGGGGCTTTCTCCTCGCTCCTTCAGGAGACTGTCATACGCCATGCCGAGGTCGTTGACCTTGTCCACGGTGACGCCATAATCCCGGTATTCCTTATGTACAGGCTTCAGCTCTTCGACCTGCTTCTTCAGCTTCTCCAGGTCCACGGCAACGGGTTGCAGCCTCTGGACCTTGCTCTCGGTGCGAGTGAGCCAGTCGACGACCTGGTCCTTCAGCTTCTCGTAGGCGGACAATTGCTCCGCCCTGGACCTGCTGAGCCTCTGTTTCTCCTCGAGGAGGTTGCCGAGCTCCTTCCACTGGGACTCGAGAGCCTTGATCTTGTCCCTGATGGGCGCGGCGTCGGTGATGTCCTTCTTGGAGACAAGGCCCTTGCCGTTGCGCACCAGGTCCTCGAAGTTGCCTCTCTGGTCCTCTCGCTTGTCCGACAGCTGCGCCATCCTGGTCTCGTACTCGGACACGTCGAGCTTGCTGGTCTCTCGGGACTCCAGGGCCTCAACCATGTGAGCGTACCAGGAGTCGAACTTGGACGTCTGCGCCAGGAACTCGCCCAGCGCCTGCGAAATCTCGTCCAGGAACTCGCCACGGCGGAGCGACTTGTCCAGCAGCTTCTCGAATCTGCTCTGCACGTCCTTGAGTTTGCCTTCGATGCGTTTTGCTACCCGGGCGTTGCTGGAATTCAGAAGTAGATCGTGGGCACTAGTGCTGATCGCCTCGACGCTGGCTCGATGGCTGTCCAGGTCGGCCTGCAGGACACGCTGGTCTCGTTGCTGCTCCTCCAGGCGCTCCTTTTGGAGACTCGCCGGTCGCTGTAGATTCCTGAAAAATAGTCAGGATTAGACTTTGAGGAAACTTCGATTTTACCTTGTGAAGCTAAAGCCCCTGACACCTGAAATTTCACTTTTTTAGAATTGGTTCATTAACAATTTTTAATTCGTTATATTGAAATTTCATGGGCGGCAGGACCTCCACCTTCACCTTCTATTTTTATGTTTTAATCCTTTCGATGCGGTTATATGCGACTCGCCCGGAAGGACTAAAGATCTAGGGATGAGACGGTATAAAATTAAACTGTAAAACCACGAGGACGCACTTGAATTGGGTCTCGGCATTGTTGAGCCAGTTGACCAATCCATCCAGAGCGTCCTGGACCCCCTGGCTCTGCACCAAGGCGGTGTCGAGTTCCTGGCACTTATCGGCCAGAGCGTTGCTGAGCTGCCTGTACTTGTCCTCCAGCTCTTTCACGGGTTCTTCCAGGTTGTTGGCTTCGATGGGGGTTAACTGTCCATCCAGGGCCCTCAACAATGCGACGACGCTGGACTTGGCGTTGTCGATCAGCCGCTCGTTCGCCAGGAACTCGTTGTTCAGGGTCTTGGCCTTGCCGAGCTGCTCCTCGACCTGCTTCGGCTCTGCGGCGACGGGTTCCCCGATGATGCGGTGCACCTTCGGCTCCACCTCCTTCAGCCAGTTCCTGGCCTTCTCCAGGGAATCCTGGTAGTCTCGTTGCCTTCCACCTACCCCGGAGAGCCTGTCGGAGAGGCTGTTGGCGCGCGACAGGAGGTCCTTGTACCTTGCCGTGACTATAGTCACCTCGCTCCTGACAGGGGAGTCCTGGCTAGCCAGGGGCTCCTTATGGGGCAGTCGCTGAGGAAGACTGGTCCGGAAGTCGTTCAAGATTTGAAGGTACTCTTTGCCCTCGTCGACGAATTTCTGGGCCGCCATTGTGATAAAACGGAGGTCTGCTTGATGGGCTATCACGTCGCTGATGAAGTCGCGAGTAGAATCCGCACTGCTGGTCAATTTGTGCAGGTCGGACAAGGAGCGCTCCTTGTCTTCCAGGATGCGTCTTGCCTTGTCCAGCCATGAAGAGAAGGAGGCAATCTCGTTCCTGAAATTAAATCCAGCGATAAAGCGATTAAATGTACATGTTTGTCATATAAAAATAGCTATTTTATGGTATAGCTGGTCATTTTTATTTCTGTTCTTTAAGGGACCTTGTTTCATAACCCGTTTGGATGAACCGATCGCTGCGCCTCTTTACGAATTTACATGAACTTTTTGGAAAAACAGGGGGCCTTGCAGACGTTGGTAATGGTCAATGTTCAATTCTTTTTCGCGTTTATTGTTATATTATGGCGAAACCAGGCCATGGTATATTAGTAGTGGACAAACTGATAAAACAGGGGAATTTCAGGTCAGCTTACTTGAACTTCGTCAGCTCATCTCTGGCACCGGTCATACGTTTTAGCAACTTGTCGGTGCGATCGGTTGCTCTGTCGAAGCGAGATTTCAAGGACCTTCCATTTTTCTCCAATGTCGAGACTTCGTCACTCGACAGGACATCGCTGCCTGTCAGGACGACTTGGCGGACCTGATCCAAGCAAGAGGACACGGGTCGACTGTGCGATTCTAGGTCCTCCTTCACTTGCTGCAGATGTAGATAATAATTAGTTTAACATATGCTATTAAACATATACACAATTTTTCTTATATTTTAGTGTATATAAGGGTGCTATTCGGCATCTCCTTAAGGGTCATATATATTTTTATTTCTAAGGACAAGGGTATTCGCACAACCTTTAGGCTGTTGATTTGGTTCCTCAGGTCCTCGATGTCTTCTTTGACGACGTCCTGGCTGGCCAGGGTGTCCTCGACCTCGGAAATCCACTGCAGCAACTTCGTCAGGGTCTCGTCGCACAGCTTGTACTTCTCCTCGACCGCTTGCTGCAATGAATATTAATTAACGCGATCTGGCTTTTATTTCTAAATTTCACTAAATCTCTAGGAAAATAGGTACGATAGAAGTGCCGCCATCTCACCCATGGTTGCACTCGACAAAATAGATAAAATATGTAAAAGAGACGTTCAAGGTTCTCTCTAACGTGTAACAAGCGCGTATATGGGCATATCTCACACATGCAAGCACAAACACACAAGACGAAACATACATAAGTGTCGTAAAGTAATCAGGTAACGATACTTAAATTAAAAACAACGGTAGCTTTAATTTATCTGCAAGTCACTGCATACTTCTGTGTATGTGTTTTTTCGTCGTATGCAGCTCACAAGCGAGTGAGAAAAAATAGTAGAGCGGGAGAAGCCTCAGAACAAAACCAATGGCCAAGGAAGTAATCTCTTGTCAAGCAAATAAATTAAAACGCACAATAACGGTGGTGAACGTCGGGAACGTTGATGGTATGTCGCAAGTATAAATCAATGATACAACAAGCTAGGTCTTGGAGGGACATTTTCAAAATGGCGGTACGGCCTTAGAACACCGATTAACACAATCAATTCCTGAAAACAAAAGGCAAACAAGGTTTACATGTAAATCGTTGTAACAGGTTAAACGGAAAAGAAAAAAGAAAAAAACAAATAAAAAGCGAGGTGTCGGCACGAGCGGTATTGCGTGTCGACGTTAAATTAATGTCAAGAATTATTCCCCGACGTTAACGACTGGAGTGAACGACGCGCGTTCAAGATGGCGGACGAGAAGGTAAAGTGGGTGAAAGAAAAAAATGTTCTCCGGCTGCACCGATCGCCATATTTGGATGAGTCTTTCGCAAGTGGGCAGAACAAAAGCGTGGCACAGAGTCCGAGTATGTCAAAAGTCCTCTGGCAAAACTTAAAAACCCCGAGACGAGGGCGCAAGCAGGAAAGGCCGACTCGCCCTGCCGGGCGCCATTTTCTTTTCTTCTCCCATAGTCGCGCAAGCGGAAGCAATCTCGCATTTCCCTTTTCTTTTTCCTTCCCAGTTTCTGGCGCCTTTTGCGAGTAAGACATGCAGTCGTGGATGTAATTCAGCGAATCCAAGGCTTTTCCCTTCGCAGGCTACCCAAGAAACATTTAATAATGCCTCCGCATCATTTAACGAGCGATCGCCCTTCGAGGTCCTCCCAAACGTGGAGGAGTTTAGTCCTCCCTTTATCCCGAGCCTCGTTATTCGCAGTCCTCGTAGAAAAACGATTAGATAGAACAGAAAAGTCGCAGTAGAATCTAAAAAGTCCTCACGGAAGAGAAGAAAATAAATAAATATAGAATAATCGAGAGAACTTAATGTCTCTTCATAAAAAAAGTAAAAGAAGTATCGTCAAACTAAAGAGGAGAATTTAAACATTCTCATAGGAGAGAAAAGTTAGGATAGAGAGTTTTAAGGAAAGAATCGAAAAGAAAGTTAAAAAAAAAAAGAAAAGAAAACGAGAAACGTGGTACAGGAGAGAACTTAACGCATCCTTGTAAAGGAAAGAGAGGAGATAACTTAAACAACGTAAATGGCCGAGTTAGCTTTGCCGATGCGACGACGGGTCTGGATTAATGATTCTTCGGGGTCGGAAAGCGATGTTCAGGGCTGGTGGTGGTTATATGCGATGAGCACACGTCGCACGAAAGGCGGCCGTCTAGAAGCCGGTGTCCTTAACGTGTGTTTCAAAGAGACGCAATTCTTCGTTCGGTTAGTGCGGACGCGTCGTGGCTCGACGGGTCGTCATCGATATCCCAGGGTTAAATGATATACGACAAGCACGAGGGGTGTAGAGATGATAACGTGGGAACACTGAGAACAAAACGGTCTAAGAACGCATTCGGGCCTTGGGGGAGACCAAAAAGGAAAACAAAGTTAAGCGGCATTCGAGAATAATTCGAATCGATTCAAATGGATCGCCTCCCGAGGGAAAACGAATTCCCGTCACGGGGCTAAGGAAATAAAAAATAATAATAAAAAAAAATTGTCCCTCTTCAAGGCGTTCTTCAAGACCTTCTTCAAGGGGAGCGTGTCGCACATCTCAAAATGATTCCTAGGTACACTAGATAGCCACGCCACGCTCCCTTGTAAGAGACATCCTTGAATCGATCCTCGAAGACGTCGGATGAACTTGAAGAAGGCCCCGAAGAGGGCCTACCAGGTCTCCCTCGGGAGCGCCGCGTCCACCCATGACCCCGGCCGGCCTGGACAAATGAGACCGTAAGCAAAATGCACGATTCCGTAACCTCTATAGCAAGCGATTAATCAAAGGGGCAAGATTCCTAATGAGAGAGCCACAGGTCCTACTTACCCTGGCTTCGGCTGCGAGAACGTAACCGCGCTCCAAGGCCTTGAGGAAGTCGAGGCCATTGCCTTCCGGGTCCTGCATTAACCTACCAGCTACGGGGTCAACCCTACCCATGCTAACCGCCTCTAAAAGCCCGGTAATGGCACCGGTCATGGGGTCCTTGATAACGGTGCTGGAGGGGTCAATCAAGCCAGCCTCGACAGCTTCGCCGAGGGTGAGTCTTTTTCTTTCTAGCACGGAGGTCTCAACGAAGGGGTCGCGGAACCCTCCGGTCGTGGGGTTGTACAAGCCAAACTGAAGGGCCTCAATAAACCCAAGGCCCTGCTTCTGGGTGCTGAGCAACCCTGACTCCACCGCCCTGGGTAAGCTGTAGAGCTTCGAGGTCATGGTGTCCAGGACGCTGCCCTTCTCCGCGTCCATCATGCCCTTCCTAAAGGCCTCCGGGAGCTTCACCAGCTTCTTCTTTTGCAGGTCCTTGATGAGCGCCGAATCGGGGTCAACGAGGCCGAGGGTAACGGCCTCCTTCAGGGTGAAGACCTCGCCGGTGTCAGGGTGAGTGAATCTTCCAGTCTCCAGGACCAGCAGGCCCTTCTCCACGGCAGTCTCGAAAGCCGGAGGCTGCTCGTAGAAGACGCTCGTGTCTCCAAAGCGCACGACTCTGGAGTCCCCTTTTCCGGTCCGGGGCTCCAGGGTGCCCCTCTTCAGGGGGTCCAGGCCCTCCTTCAAGGCAGTACCCAGAGTGACCCACTTCCCGGTGTTGCGATCCTTCAAGACCGCTGTCTCAGGATCCAACAGCTCGTACCCGATAGCCTCTTCCAAGGTGCACTCTCGGATGCATCTGTTCTTTGGGGTGGTCTTCAGGGTGTCCGAGGTCACGGCGCGGTCCGGTCTTTGCGTCAAGGTCTTCTCCAGGGTGACCAGAAGCCCCCGTTCCAAGGCCACATCCATGTTGTACGTGCGCTTGCTCTTCGGGTCCAGGACTCTGCCTCTAGGGACGTCGACGGTGCCATCCTCTATGCCTTGAAGAAGCGACTTTATCTGGCCGGTCGTTGCGTCCTTCAGGGCAGTGGTCTCAGGGTCGAGTAGACCGGAGCTCAAAGCCTGGGCGATGTCGCGGAATTCGTTACTCACAGGATCAGCGAATTTCCCACTGTCTCCTCGGTAGAGGCCGCATCTTACCGCCTCCTCGATGGACAGCGGCCTTGAAGAGGGCACAACGAGGCCCCTTTTCCTGGCCTCCTGAAGAGACACGACCTGGTCCGTATCGAGGATCTTATAGGTCCCCCGGATCTCGTCGACTATCCCCAACATGGTGGCTTCGGGCAGGGGGATGTATCTGTTGGTCTTCATGTCCTTCACAATGGACGTCAAAGGGTTGACGAGGTCCTTCTGGCAGGCCTCGGCCAAGGTCAGCTTCTTCTGGCTCGAGGGGTGGACGAACCTCCCGGTGGCGACGTCGTACAGCTCCATGGCCAGCGCTTCGTACAGACCAAAGGACGCGCTTTCGATATCTACTATCAACCCTAACTGCAGCGCAGCGGACAAAGGCACTGTGCAATTCGCCCCAGCTTCCTTGAACATGCCCGACCTTCTGTCTATGACCCCGGCCCTGCAAGTCTCGGCCAAGGACAGCAATCGGTTGGCTCTTTTGTCCCAGTAGCAGGCCAGGGTGGGAGAGATGATGCACTTCCTCATGGCCTCGTGCAAGGTCACCGCTCTTCCGGTACCAGGGTCCGTGATCTTCCCGGACCGGTCGTCATAGAGACCCTGATGAATGGCCCTCTGCAGGGACACGGCGGCCTTGTTGTCAACGATGAGTCCAGCCTCGTAGGCCTCCCTCAAGGACATCTCCGCGTTGCTGGTCGTCGGATCCTTGATCCTGCCGGTGGTCCCATCTACGTAGCCAGTCCTGATGGCCTCTATCAAGGTGATCTTTTCCCAGACCACGGTCCTCGTGTCCTTGACCATGACGGATTCTGCGTCTATTAGGTTCCTCTCTATGGCTTGCAGGACTGTCAGGTGGGACCCTGACTGAGGGTCCAAAAATGTCCCGGTCTCTTCGGCGTACACCTTCTTGAAGATGGCCTCGCTGAGGCTCATCGGCCTCCTGGTCTCCAGCAGGAGACCCCTCTCGAAGGCCTCGTGGAAGTCTACGGCCTGGCCCTTCTCGTTGGTGATCCTTCCTGATTTCGGGTTCACGATGAACCTCTCGATGGCCCTATTGAAGGTGATGACGTCGCCCTTAGGGTCCCTCACGATAGCGGACGTGGGGTCAATCACGCCTTTCCGGATGGCTCGATCGGTTGGGAGCTTCTCCCGGGTTTCAGGACTCACGAAGTGGCCTGTCTTCGGGTCGTAGAAGCCCTTGAAGACGGCCTCTGGGAGGGATATCTTCCGCTTTGCAGGGACCACCAGGCCTCTATCCAGGGCATCGGTTAGGGTCAAGGGAAGCCCGGTACCGGAGTCCAAGGCGGTGCCGTTCTTCGGGTCTATCAGTCCCAGTTTAATCGCCTCGCCTAGGGAGATTATGTCCCCGGTCCTGGGGTCCTTCACCGAGGGACTGTTCACCGAGATGTAGCCCTTGGTTATAGCCTCCTCCAGGGACAGCTTCTGCCCGTCTATCACGAAGTTCTTGGTAACAGGGTCGTAGCTCTGGTGGGCCAGCGCTTCCTGAACCGTCCAGGGCTTCACGGTGGACAGGATGTACCCCTTTTCGAAGGCCACGTCCAGGGTCATGGGGTGGGGACTTGTCAGCAGGCCTCCCTCCAGGTCCATTAATCCGCTTTCTTCGGCATCCTCCAGGGATACGACCAGGTCGTGTCGGTCGTCCTTTACTTTAATGGACCGCCCGTCCACGTAGCCGATCGCCAGGGCCTCCTTCACCGTCAGCTCGTCCCCGCTCATGGGGTTCAGCACCAGGCCCGACCTGGGGGAATAATATTCCTGGACGATAACGTCGATCAGCGTGGGGACGAACGGCGTGGTGATGATCAGCCCTCTGTGCAACGCCACCTGCAGGGGCAGCAACTCTCCCGTCTTGGTGTCTCGAATGCGACCCGTCATGGGGTTCAACAGCTTCATCGTCAAGGCGTCGTCCAAGGACACGAAGGCCCCGGCCCTGCTGTCCTGGCACTCGGTGATGAATGCGTCCAGGATGCCTCTCCGCACGCCTTCCTCGACGTCGACCCGTTGCTTCGTCAACCCATCCTCTATCAGGCCACTCTCTTCATGGTAGAGCCCCTTGTTGATGGCGGCTTCCAAGGAGATGGGTTTCCGCAGACCAGGAAGCACCAGCCCCTTTAGGAACGCCACTTTCAGGTCCACCTCCGTTCTCGTCTCGACGTTGATGATGACGCCTCTCTTTTCGTCCACGATGCCAGCTTCCACGGCTTCTAGAAGAGGCACTATTTCATCATTCGCTGGATTTCTGATTCCCACCGAGTCGGCATCGATCAGACCAGAGTTCAAGGCCTGCATCAAGGTCAGTTCATCTCCTGTTCCAGGATCTTTCAAGGCCCCGCTAGCGGGATTGCAGATTCCCGTCTCAACGGCTTCCTGGAGAGTCAGAGCTGGTCGCTCTTCAAGTTCTGGTTCTCTCTGCTGGATCCAACCCAGTTGGATCGCCTCGAAGAAGGGTACCTTCTTCCCGGTCTTCGGGTCCACCATGTATCCTAGATTCCTATCCAGAAGTGGCTTATGGATCGCTTGTCTGAGGGTCACGTACCTCTCGGTCTTGCTGGACGGATCCTTCACGAGGACGTCCTCAAGGTCCAGAATTTCCAACGCCAGGACGAAGTCGTTGAAGGGGACGATTTCTCCGGAATAAGGGTCCACGAATTTTTCCGCCTCTAGGTCGAAGGCTCCCAGCTCGGCCAGGACCTCCGCCGTGAGGTCCTTTGAGATCTTGACCTTGAATATGGAGCCGACCTCGCACATCCCCGATTCTTCATCAAATACCTCGGTCTCCAACGCATCTATTTCATTCGCGTCTTCCGCTGCAGATTGTTCGGCTTGTGGGAGCTCTTCATCGTTCAGAAGTATCTGACAAGGTTTAGGCTCTTTCCGTTCCTTGTCGATGGTCTTGGTGGTCGTCATCATGGAAGGAGTCAAGTCTTCAGGAATGGAGATGACTTCTCTCTCTTCAGGGTACTCTTTAAGGACTGATACATCCTTCTCTTCTAAGGGTATCCTTGGAGTGGTTTTTCCGGGAGATCTCACCTCCTTTCCGGAACCAATATCCTTGATCGGAGCCGGAGTTGCTCTCTTCTCCTGGGGTTCCTTGCTCTTCAGGGCATCCACGACTGCTTTCCCCGCCAAAACCGGCGCAGCAACCACTGCGAGGAGCCCCAACTTCGCTGCATCAGCGATGGACATAGATGCACCCTTGTCGTCCTTGACCTTCCCCGTCTTCGGGTCCAGGATGCCCCTCTGTACCGCCTCCTTGGTAGTGACTCGTTCCGAAGTCTTCACGTCATAAACCATGGAGTCCGACTCGATCAGACCTACCTCGATGGCCTCTTCAAGGTCGTACGACTTCTCGGTAACGGGGTCCTTGAACTTCCCGGTCTCTTCATCATAGATCCGTTCCACTGCTTCAAGGACGGTGAGACTGTTTTGGTCCGAGGTTCTTTCAGGGGAATTCGGCACGTCCCTCTGATCCTTGGTACCTGAAGAAGTGTCAAGGATACCCACCTGCACTGCCCTGGCGATGGGCATGACGGTCCCCGTGTCAGGATCCGTGTAAGTCCCCGCGGTGATGTCCACGAGTCCCTTTTCGACGGCGTCGCTGAAGGCCACTTTTATGTCCCTGGTGGTGAACTCCTCCTTGGTCTCGGACTCGTCCTTGAGGAGGCCCCTGCTGCGAGCCTCTTCGACAGGGATCACTTCCCCAGAGGCCACGTCCTGCACTTCGGTGGCGCTCAGGAGCACGTACCCTGGCTGCAGCTGGACCGTCTTCGTGGTGATGGTGTGGTAGGAGGTAACGGTCTCCGTGACTGCTGTGACAGTGCCTTCCTTCTTCGAATTCCCGACGACCAGGAGGCCGGACAGCACGGCTTCGTCCACAGGGACCAGGACCCCGGTGGTCGGATGCACCAGGACGCCCTTGTCTGCGTCTAAGAGGCCAGACTCCACCGCTTTTGTTACTTCTATGTTATCAGGTGCTGCTGGATAAGGCAAGGACATTATGAACCCGTCGTCGATGGCGTTCTCCAGGGCGAAGAGCTCCCCGGTGATGGGGTGCCTGACCTTGCCCTCTTTAGGGTCCACGAGGCCGCGCTTCAAGGCAACTGGGAAAGTCATGCCTGCAGGGGGGATCTCGGAGCTGTCCTCTGGTCTCACTTCGGCGAACATCTTCCTCTCGACACCCTGAACCAAGGTCACGGGGCCGTCAGGCCGCTTCAGCAAGGACCTCTCCCCGTCGACCACGTCGCTGGCAATTGCGCTCTCAAGGGTGATCTCATCGTCTTCAGTTATGGCGACCTTGGACAGCGGGTCGACGACCTCGCAGGTTATGGCCTCGTTCAGGGTCAGGTGGACGCCTGTTTCAGGGTGCACCACCTTGCCCTCCTGGGGGTCGAGAAGTCCTTGTCTGTATAATCCAGGAACTGAAAGGCTTCTCGCCAAAGGCACTAATAGGTTCCCGCTGTCGCGGTCCAGGACTCCGCGTCGAAGAGCCTCTCCGATGTCGAGGACGTCGCCTCGCTGGGGGTCCACGACGCGGCCCTCTTCAGGGTGGATCCTGCCACTCTCTACGGCTTCTACCAGGGTAATAGGCTCGCCCCTTTCGTCCACGATCTTCTTCTCCAGGATATCCGCGGTTACGGGGTCGATCATCCCGTTCTCCACCGCGTCTCTAGGCTTCACCACCCTCTTCCGCATCTTCTGCAGGACGATGGGCTTCGCTTCCCTTTCCGGGCTCCTGGAAAGCGACCTGGCTCTGCCTATGGTGACCTTGAACTTGGGCTCCGTGGTCACTCGACTCCTCGTCTTCTCCGCCAGGGACACTTCTACCTGGTCGACCACATCTCTGGTGGACGTACCTCCTTCTTCAGGGATTACCTTGACCTCGGGTGACGCAGACAGTTCCTGAATAGTCTCAGGTGAGATGATACCTCTAGACACCGCTTCCTCCGCCGAGATCTCCTCCCCCGTTGTCGGATCCAGAACGTTGAACCTCGTGATGACCTCTTTGGTCTTCGTGATCACCTTGTCCAGTGGAACGAGACCTTTGGCGATTTCCCTAAGGATTTTCTTCCCGTTTCTAGGGTCCTCCACCATGACTTTCTTGACTGTCTCAACTGTTGCATCCGTGACTTGGTCTTCATCATCGATTCTTGCGGCGACCATTTCCGTTTTGGTAATCTGGTCCGGTGCAACTAGGCCTCTGTTGACGACGACTTCCCTAGGGATTTTCTCCCCAGCCCTAGGGTCCTCCACCATGGTTTTTTCGCCCGTCTCCTCGGTTGCAGCCGCGACTTGGTCTTGATCGTTCATCGTTGTGGCGGCTATTTCCGACTTGGTGATCTTGTCCGGTGGAACTAGTCCTCTGTTGATAGCGACTTCCCTAGGGATTTTCTCCCCAGTTTTAGGATCCTCCACCATGGCTCTTTTCACCGCCTCCACGGCTGCTGCAGCCGCGACCAAGGGCGCTCCTAGGACCGCTACTACTCCAAATTTGGCAGCATCCGCTAGAGAGATCTTCCGTCCAGACTGGTCCACGTAGTCTCCAGTGTTGGGGTCGAGGATTCCCCGGTTGACGGCTTCTATGAGCCCCAGGTCTTTCCCACTTGCCGGGTCCTTGACTATCACCGCCTCGGGTTGCAAGGTCCCCTCGTGGACCGCTGCCAGGAGGTTAGCAGACCCTCCGGTTTCCGTGAAGATGACCAATGCCGTCGCCGGGTCGTAGATGACCCCTCGGGTCACCTGGACCGGGTCCAAGGTGTTCGACTCATCGGCGCTCCTAATTTCCGTGTATTTAGAAGAGTCCCGAACGTTGGAGACCGACACTTTGTCGGGCATCCCCGAGACCTTGGTGATCTGCAGGAGTCGCTGATTCGTGGCGTCGACCTCTGGAGCCCTGTGCTGCAGGATGATCAACTCCTTTTCCAGGGCCACCTTCATGGAGATCTTCGTGGGCTGGACGTAGTGCCCAGTAGAGTCCAGGATCCCCTTCTCCAGGCTTCTCAGCAAGGACACCTTCCTGCCGTTGTTGGGGTCGATCACCAGGCCGGATACAGGGTCGATGATCTGCAGTTTGACGCACTCCTCGAAGGAGACCAGTCTGTCGGTCCCGGGGATGATGAAGAGCCCGGTGACGGGGTCGAAGAGCTTCCTCTCGATGGCCTCCGCCAGGGTCCACCCGTCCGTGGGCAGTTCGAAGACCTTCCTCTCGGTCGAGGACCGGACGAACTCAGTGGTCTCATCTCGGTAGCTCTTGAAGGTCGACCTCGAGAATCCTTCCTCGGACCCCTCTTTCGAGGAACTCCTCTCAGGGCTGGATTTTTGGGAACTCGAGCCAGCTCGATCGTCCCTTTTCACCGGGGAAGTGGACGCGGACCTTGAAGTCGACGCCGAAGAGATCGTCCTCGAGGGAGAGCGCGGCTTGCTCGGCGACAAGGACTCTTCCCTGGCGGAGGACCAGTCGGTGGAGGAAACGGAAGTGCTGGACGCAGGAATGACGTTACCGTCGCTTCCACTCACCGGGGAAGGCGTGACCGAGACGGAGACGTACTTGGTGGGCGAAGGTGGAGGAACCACTTCCCTGGTGACTACGGTGGTCGTCGTTCCCACTGCTCTAGGACTCGTCGAGTCCCTCGCGTCTCCTATGTTCGTAGTGAAGGTAGTCTCGTACGTCGGTTTCCTGGACGGCGAGGTCCTGGTCCCCCCTGAAGACCCTCTAGACGTCTCGGGGTCGCCCAGTAGACCTTCCTGGATAGCCTCCCTGATGTCCAAGATCTGTCCCGTCTCAGGGTGCCGGAACTGCTCTTTCTCCTCGTCGATCAATCCTCGTTTCCTGGCCTCCTCGTAGGAGACGGCGTAGTCCCTCGTCACGGTCTCCCCGGTCTCGGTAACGGTGACGACCTTCTTAACGGTCCTGGTCACGGTTTGCGTAGTCACGGTAACATTCAGAAGACTGGCCAGCAAGGCGGCCCCATCGGGCGTGACGAGCCCACGTTTAATGGCCTCTTCAAGGGGAACGGTCCTCCTCGTCCTGGGATCCAGGAGCTGGCCCGATCTGGGGTCCAGCAGACCCAGAAGCACCGCCTCCAGCGCGCTGATCTCTCTACCCTGGTCCATGACCCCGATGCCTCGTCGCAACGAGTCCAGGACCTCTGGCCTGGCGTGGCCCTCTTGGACGGCATCGTCCAAGGTGACCGTTTTCCCTGTCTTCGGGTCCACCACGAAGCAGCCCCCGTCCTTAGGGCTGACCAGGCCCTTTAGGAGCGCAGCGTTCAGGCTGACGAACTCTCCGGACACCGGGTCCTTAAAGCCGTCTACGTCGAATATGGACCGTTGCGCGAAGGAGAGGACGAGGCCGCGGTCGACGGCCTCCTGGATGGTAATCCCCCGACTTTCCCGGGTGTCTCTGAAGCGGCCATCCGGCAGCACCAGGCCTCTGGCCAGGGCCTCGGCGAGCGTGTACGCCTCGCCGCTCTCGGCATCGACAACGGACCTGGTGCCCTCGGCGTCCAGGACGCCCCTGTCCAGGGCCTCCTGGATAGAAAGCCGCTCCCCGCGCGCGGGGCTGGAGATCCTGCCCTGGTCGTCCAGGAGCCCCAGGTCCCGGCAGTCCTTCAGCGACAGGGGCTTCGCGATCAGTCGACGCCGGCGCGCCTCGGCCAGGGCCAGCTTCTCCAGGGAGAGGCCGTGCACGTACCGACCCGTCTTCGGGTTCAGGATGCCCGCGCGCAGCGCCTCCGCCACCGTCACCTTAAGGTCGTTCCTCGCGTCCACCACCTCCCTGACATTCGCGTCTACGATACCCCTAGCTACCGCCTGGTCGAGGGGGAGGTGCTCGCCCGTGTCGCGGTCCAGGACCCTGCCTAGCTTATCGTCGACCAGACCCTGGGCCACCGCGTCGGCCAGCGCCAGGGCCCCGCGCCTAATCTCGACCCTGGCGTCCAGCCTGACCAAGTACCCGCGGGAGTGAGCCTCCTCCACGGCGATGCGCTCCCCGTTCGCCACCACGAAGAGGCCCGTCTCCGGGTCGATCAGGCCAGGACGAGTCGCATCCGCAACGCCGACCCCCGAGGCCGCGTACGTTACCTTCACGCGGTCGTCGCCTCGCTCGGCCTCCTGGAGCTCCCGCTGGATCGCCTCCAGCAGAGACACTCGCCGGCCCTCCTCGGTCACCCCGCACGGCCCCAGGAGTCGCTCGGCCAGGGCCCGCTCGATCAGCCCTAGCCTCGTCGCCTCCTCGATGCCGACGCTACCGCTCTTCCCGTCCGGACCCACCGTCGCTATCCGCCCGTTCCGGACGTCCAGGACGCGCAGCCCGATTGCCTCGCCCACCGTCAGCGACTCGCCGGTCTCCGGGTGCAGGATGCCCCGAGCCTCGATCACGTTGTCCGTGCCGATGCCCTCCTCGGCCCGGTGCACCCTCTTCAGGCTCCGGATCTCGCTGAACCGCATCCCCCCGCCCCCGCCGCCGCCGGGGCCATCCGGGGTGCACCCTTCCAGCCCCAGCGGCCGCTTCAGCGGTGACGACTCCAGGGAGTTCACCACCTCCGAGTTCGACACCCGCGTCGTCTCCTCCGAGGACTCATGCCGCTCGCTTGTGTACCTGAGGGGCGGAAATTAGATTATTTATTAGATTAATTAAATTATAATATAAAATCGAATGAAAAAAAAAATTCTAGCGTTATGAAATATCTGCAATTAAATCGAGTCCATTAATACTGTATTATCATGAATAATGGAATAACATTCAATTAAATTTTGACGAATCTATCGTTACGCGTCCGACGATTACGAAGGGTGCGGATCGCCAACCCTTTCGCGACTGCTACCTTTCCATATTGGGGTGGAAATTAGAGAGGCAAAATTTGGGCCCCGCTCCTCAGGGTGCTTCTACTCACTGAGACTGGGTGTAGTGCGTCGTGACGGAAGTGTACCTCTCCTCGCTGGAGGAGCTCTCGTAGATGTTGAACTCCGTGCGGAAGGTCCGCAGGGGCCGCTGCTCCCGAAGGGCGCGCTGAAACAGCAACGACAGGAGATACGTTAGGGTGATCATCTCGTCTCTTCAGGGTCGCCGGTTGCGGACCCATCCCTCTCGTCCTCCTCTCATCGACCCCCCGTTCCCTCCGACTCGGTCGGAGCCCTCGTGGTCGAGTCGCGAGGATTTCTCGACTGAGGAGAAGAGAACCTCCTGAGAGAATCTCGAAGAGGAACCTTCGAGCGGAACGAGCAGGTTCTCCGCTAGGTCGATCGCTTCACGGTTCCTGAACTCTTCGACCTCGGCAAGACGCTGCCATTTAAATTTCCGATCCGGGATTAAAATCGCGAGGGAAAAAAAATAATATCGAGATAGATCCTGGAAGACTTCGAGAGAAGAGCGCGAGGTTCCTCGCCGACGACGTCGGCTCGACTCCAACCGAGAACCGTCAAATCCGACGGAACTATAAATAAGGTCCTCCTCGAGGGCGGATCGGTGCATGATGCCGGAGTCGAGATGAACATCATCAACGAGGCCGGTATATTTTAGGATCTCGCCGACGCCCCCGAGTCCATTGACCTGGGAAATCTCATTTTTCTCTCCATTTTCTACCGCGGCTCGTTCTTCCTCCGCGTTGCCTGAGGACGTCGTTAAAAATGCAAGGGAGGTGACCAACCCCTCTCTTCATTTTTTTATCTTCCTACCCATTACGTGGGAACGTCATCGAGATCCTCGGTTTAGCATTTTTCTTTGCATTTTTAAATTGAAAATGGAGATGGCGAATGATTCTTCTCCCCTTGATATTCATTTTTAAGTGGAGCTGACTTCTTTTAGGAGATAATGACGCCAATTATTCCTTGCTCCTTGGGTGGCTCCGTATGTGGTGGAGGAAAGTGTCGCCGCGAAATCAAGGTCAAGGCTCCGAATAACAGGTGACATCACCGACGACGCTGCAACCTGTCGCCGGCGTCTCGGTTCCGTTGATTACGTCAGTGGTTTGGAGCGACGACAACTATTGCGACATGCGACCGACTATTCCTAGCGAGACGCCGGTCGAGGACCGTTCTCATCTTCAAAATCTTCCCCGCGATTGGTTTTTAACTATATTCATAAAATANAATTAACACGGTATCGGTTAAATATCCACGGTTAAGTTAACGGAGATCGGGTGAGTTTTCATTCAGGAGTCACTTGGGTTGTGTCGATTTCGGTCGTTGGTCTCAAATTCGCCATTACCTGGCGAACCATTTTCCCTCCTATAAATCGGTAGACAAATTTATTTGACGGTCAATTAACACGGTGTCGATTAAATATCCACGGTTAAGTTAACGGAGATCAGGTGAGTTTTCATTCAGGAGTCACTTGGGTTTTGTCGATTTCGGTCGTTGGTCTCAAATTCGCCATTACCTGGCGAACCATTTTCCCTCCTTTGGCGGTCATGCTCGATCGGCCATCCGTGGTACCATAATGGCCGTACCGTTTCCCGTGACCGCGATCAAGCAACGTCCGAGTTCACCGCCGGTGAATATTCGAATATTCGAATATTCCGAATATTCGCGTGTCGAGCCGGTAAGAATTTCTTTCTAGATCGACATCGGTCCACGACGTTACCGGCGTGGACCGCGCCGGGAGACTGACCGGCTCTCGTGGAGAACGAATCGACTCGACTGTTCGACCTTCGCCGCGTCGCGTGTCGTCGAGTGGTCTCACTAGGCGCGTCAGTGTCGCACAGAGGGCGGCGCGTCGACGGCTCCAAGACGGGGAAAAAAAAAAAGTCGAAACTGCGACGAAAGTGACGCATCGGATAAGCGCAGTTCCGACTGGACTTCCGACTTTTGCATCCTTGCGACATTTCTTGGTGGCCAATCGTTCTAATTTCCGAAGTACCGGCCCCTCATGGAGCCAATCAACTCGACTTCTCGACCTTCGTCGTCGTGATAACGTATCGCGTTATCGTGCCGTCTCTTTCCATCGTCGTTTAAGTCTCCTTAAAAGCGTTTGGTCCGATCTCCGATCGAGTCTACGCGTTAGAAAATTTAGATAGGGATATTAAATTTTTAGGATATATATGTAGAAAGATTAAACGTCTTGATAGCACACGCGCCTAAAAAAAAATACAGGCGAAGAAATCGGACCGTGATTTTTATCTGAATGATTTTTATCTCCGCGATCAGCTGACCAGAGCTCGATTAATCCCGCCCGATGCGCCGCGAGATAATCACAGGCTGCAATTCCGCTGATAAAGTGGAACTATTAAAAGGGGACCGGTACATCTTGTATCGCAAGGTCGATACCAAATCTTGAAAAATATCTGGACCCTGATAAAGACCTGCCTTAAGGCTGTTTCATTGACGACTCAAAATAAAAACCCAAAATGTGATGCATAAGGACGTACGGAGAGTCTCAAAAAATATGTACACACTTTTACGTAACCATTTTCCTCCTTCAGCCCACGTACCCAATTTTCGTGTATTTCTAGCTGAAGTTTATTGAAAATAAAAATTGAGTCTTAATAAATACGAGTGTATATATATGTCCACCCAAAGTGTGTACACATATACTTAAGACACTCGTATACACATATCGTCTACGCACTGGCAAGAAAATTTCATCGAACCGAAGAAATATTTCATTGAATGGTACATCAAATAAGCTGGAATAAATTCGATGCACCACATTTATTCGGAATGAATAAAATTTATTTCAGTCAAATAATTATTCTCGTAATTACGAAAATATTTCATCGGTACTATTCAAGGTAATGTTTCTCTGGTTGAAGGAATTTTTCTTTCTTTTTTCCTCGGTGCATATTTTTCGGAAAGGGCAAGAAAATTCGGTCGCGACTCCTGAATTTTGTTTTTTTAGCTATTTCAACGAGCGGCGACAATACGGAGCAGGGCGGTACACGGGTCCGTACCTTGCGCACGATAACGAGTACCGACATCGTAAAGGTGCACTCGATCGCCGAGTAACGCGCATTTACTCCTCGCCGGCTCCACCGGGTGGACTCGAGCAAGGTCGGCGAGGAGACTGCCGACGTCCAGCCCACGCAGACTCCGAGCAACCTAACCTGCTCCGCCCACCGCCATATTATTGATCCCGGTAAATGCACGCGGCCGAACGAGTGCCTCTTCCCCGAAGAGGTGCGATTCCTCGGAATCGCACAATCGATCTAATTAGGAAATCAGTGCGTCCCCTTAAAGGTGGCGGAAGAGTAATTGGCCCTATTATACGTCGACATTGGAATCGGTGCTTATAGTGCCTATAGAATACTTGTATATACATATATGAATGTATACAAACGTATATAAATGTATACACATGCATTTGGAACGAGGCTGTGAGTGAATGGGGAAAATAAAACCGTGAAAAGTGGGATTTAATTATCTAACGTTTAATCGAGCCGGCAAGGAGGCTCGATTAAAATGCCGGCCCAAGGCCAGGAACGAAACGAGATAATTAGAATGCGAAGGAGTAAGTTTATTCCGAGGACGTCACTCGGGTCAGCCTTGATCTTTGCACGAGGTGTTAATTCTCACGCTCCGTGGATTAATTACATTTTTCAGCCGGTCACGTCAGAGGCGGGAGGATGATATATTCCCCGCAAGTCATTGTAGTCTCGGGAAAGGTGAGAGCGTTACGAATTTTTACTGAATTATTGCGAGTGGTTCCGCGTGCAGGTTTAACTTGCTATCATCGGCCTCGATCCATGGCACGAGGCTCGAAGTTTCGGACAGCTACCATTCCGGCCTTTCGAGATCGCACGCAACTAGGAGAAACTAGGATACCTGTTCGCTGCCGATTAATTCTATTCGCGGCTTGCGCTCTTCGGCAAAGGTTAAATCCACTTAAAATATCCCAGGTTGGATTACTCGTTCCGAGGGGTAACGTGATTCAGATTCCTCGACTTTAATTTCCGCTCCCTAAGGCGTTATCAAAGGGTCATTCGGTATACACAAAAATGTCAAAATCTTTACCAACTCTACTCCTCTAATTTTAAACATCACCACGTGATTATACACCTTGAGGAAGAATGAGACCCTCGTGAAATTTCAATTTTCAAAAGGACATTTTTTGTATCATCCCAGACTAGGACATATTTTTTTTCTTTTTTTTTTTTCAAGATATGAAACTTGACAAGCATCGCGTTCTTCCTTAGGACCTCCATAATCACGTGCCGAAGTTTCAAATGACTCGGTGCACCTAGGATGTAGAAGAATTTTATAAACATTTTGACGTTTCGATGTATAAATAAATTTTTCATAACACCTTAACGACGAGGATAAACACTGTGACCAGAGTATCGAGATTGAAATATATTAATGAAGTTCAAAGCAAGACCGATTCCTTCATTCCTGGGCGACATTTAATTATTTACTTGTTTTAATTTATTTACGTTCCGGTGGTCGAGTCGGAGCTTAGGTCATCATTTCCCCGATAGAGTAAATTATAGACGAGATAGATATTATCAATGATTAAAATTAATAATTAATATATTTGAGGGGCCTACCTGAAGGGAAAGATCATCGGGAAACATCAGCGTTAGTTTTTTGGCCCTTTCCTGAAGAAGGCCGAGGAGGGTCGTGTACTTCCGGTTGAGAGTGTCCAGGTCCTTGGCGACATTGTCGACGGTCGTCACGGAGTCTCTTCTGGGTCTCTTGACGGAGGCGTCCAAGGATGGGCAGACTTCTTCCAGCTGTTCCTTGAAGGCCCTTAGCCTCTGTCCGTAGATCTACAGGTTTCGGTTAGTTCCGTTAGGGTTAGTGCAATTAGACTGGGTGCTAGATTCCTCGGTGCCGTTAGCTCTCGGAAGCAATAATAAAGTATAACGAAATAAAGAAAAAACTAAATAAATAAATAAAGTAAACCTTGTAAGCCGAGTGAAATAAATAAACCCGACATCGATTCCTCCGCAAGTTCCTTAGAGTAGCGATTTCAAATTCACAATGGACCTTACTAGAAATAATCATTATCTATCGCGTATCTCGGAGGAATCGATATCACCACCGACAACTCAATGTGGCAATTGTTAAATCGACGTCCATAAAATCCTGGATTAATTTATTAATCCTGGGTTTATTCTTCCGCGAGTTACGCGAGAATTAATTCGGTTAATATTAAGTTCCGGTAGTTAAAGACCGCTATGTCGAGCATTATTGCAAAATATTAGAATATAACAGTTTTATTAATTGAATTGCCACACCGAGTTGGCTGTGATGTATAAGAAAAAAAGAAAAAAAAAAGAAAACATTTTGAAGACGCGTAAATAAATAAAAGCCCCGTAAGCGGCTCCCAACTCTGTCGCAGGTTTGTCCAAAGCTTCCAGACCTTGATCGCCATTCAACCATGCTACTCGTGAATTGTCTATTCGCATAATTCATTACTCGCCAGTGCGGACAGCTACGAGTGCTCCATTAACACGAGGCGCCATTAGTAGGTACTTAAAGAGACAAGATATTAAAAATATTATCATATTAAACGATTTGCAAAAGAAAAAAAAAATTATGGCAGTTAATAGCGATTAACTTGAAGAGAACAAACGGTTCATTGCGGTGTTTCGCCAAAGGATCTGAGAAACATAAACAAGTCATCGAATACCAGAAGAATGGACGTCTCGAGAGAGCACCTCCGTTGGCCGCTGAAAGGATGACGGTACACCGACGACAGGCGGAACGATGACGACGACAATGACGAATCACGACGAAATATAAGGATGATGGGGTATTTACAATGTGTATCGTGTGCCTGTGTGTGTGTGACAAACCTAAGCCTAAACCTAAATCCTCATTCACACGCCATTCACACCCCGTACCGAAACTATTACCATTTCTAGCTGGCGCAACATCGCCGGAGAACCCTATCATTACCTTGCCCTCTCTTATCAGCCGCCCGCCGGTAACATTGACGGCCTCGATAGCAGGAGCACGATCCACCACACGGTTCAGCAGATTCTGGAAAGGGAAACAGATTTCAAATACCACTCTACGTGTGTTTTAAAATCCTAGGAAAGATTTTTAAGAATGTCCGACATTTTCACCGGGAGATAAAAAATGGCTAGCACCGAAGATTGCAGATTACCTTGGTGGTTTCCAGTTCCTGCGCCTTGGTGTGAACCGGGGCCAGGTTCTCCAGCCTGGCGTAGCTCTCGTCGACGAAGTCGACCTCGTTCTGATAAGAGTTATGATACTGCTGAGCGAGTCCATAAGCGGTCTCCGCGCTGCGAAGACGATCGACCAGCTGGCCGCAGATGTTGGTCCACCTGGCATTGAGTCTATTGACTTCTGCATCCAGTCTGTCCATGTCGCTGTGAGGACCTCTATGATTAGGCCTGGACTTCTCCACCAATCTTCTGGCGTTATGAGCGTCGTCGTTGAGCTGGTCGATGGATCCCTGCTGCTGGGCGATGGCGTTCTGCAGGACCATCAGGTCCTCCAGGACATTCTGGAGGCCCTTGACGTCGGACGGCATCTCTCCGAAGGAGGCCAGCTTGATCTCGAACTCCGAAATGGCGGTGGTGTTCTCTTCGAGACCCGACAGGACGATCTCGACGCACTTGAGGCGCTCGATGTAGAGGTTGCTGAGATTCCAGAGATGGTTCCACTTGGTGGTCACGTTGTCGAGCTTGTTCCTCATGGCGGGGGTCTTCAGGGTGATCCCTCGGAACGTTTGCTGGACCTGGTCCACGTCCGGGGCCAGACGTTGGAGACTCTGCTCGTAGTCCTTGTGCTCGAGGACAAGGTGCTCCAGGCTGTCGAGGTCGCGAGGCAGAGGAGCGGCTATTCGGGTGTTCAAGACCCTCTCGGCCTCGTCCAAGGCCTGCTGTAAGGACGACACCTGCTCGTTGAAGATGCGACCCGCGTTCTTTGACTCCTCCTCGGCTCTGGCGCGTTTCTCGAAGTCGTCGAAGAGTCTGTTGACGTCCGCCATCTCGCGTTTGAGTCTTCTCAGCTGAGGGTCCGCAGGATCGCCCTCCGATAGCAACTTATCCGCGTCCTCGTTCAGGGCCTTCCTGATGGCGGTTCGCTGATCCTGTCCCATGGCCAGGAAATGCGGGAGGTCCCAGCCCTTGACGACCTTGATGGTCGCGAATATCATGTTCTGCCGCAGGCGCAGCTGCTTCCGCTGCCACAGGGCCACGCTTCTGTCGTACTGACGTCTAAGACGCTCCGCAGCATCCAACGCGTCCTTGTCCGGAGGCTGAAGAGCGAAACACGCTCCAGGGACCGGCGACTCCACGCCCTGGGAGTTCTTCACTCGCCATTTAACTCGGCCCGAGTTGTCGTACAGGGTGCACTGCTCGCCCTTCTCGATGGAGATCTGCTAATGGAAGTCGAGGGACAATGTAATATTAAACAGTAAATGGAAAATAGGAGAAAGCTCCACCGGAAGGATTCGCCATGCATGGATTTAATCGACTCAACGACCGGCTTACGTTAACTTGTTTGTAGCTGCAGATAGCGGTGATCTGAAGAGGTCTCATAACGGGTTGTCTGCGCTGTCTCATGGGCACGACATCCTTCGCCTGTTCGACCAATCTCTGCACGTGATCCCCATAATTATTCAGCTCCTCCCTCAACTCTTGCATGCCTCTCAGCAAGCGTTCCCCCTCGTCCAGCGAGAAATCCGACTGGGAGTAAACGGTATTCAGGATCTCGTCTCTTTTAGAGATCCACTGTTCGGCCTGCTGGACATCCTTGAAAAACTGCTGCCTATAAGCCGCGTGTCTGAGATGAACCTCCAGACACAAGGTCAGCTGCAACAGCCAGGCCCATTGACTCTGCATGGCCGACATGTACGCTTCGATTGTCTTCGCAGCCGGATGATGCTGAAGAACCAAGGCTTCCCCGCGATCCTGCACCGCCGAGAACTGGATCTCCCGCTTCTCCAGGTCGCTCATCAGGGACTGCAATTCAAGGACCCTCGTGAACATACCGTCTCAACATAATAAATAACCGGAAAAATAGGGGTGCACTTTAATTGAAACTAAATCCGAAGAGAAGGAAGGGTTAACGCGACCTTTACCTCGATTCCCGATCCATAGGTTTGCTTGGGAAGAAAAATCCAAAGTTAATCCCCGTTCTTCAGGGTAGGGACCCCCACGACATTCCTCGACTTACCTCGTAGTATTGTTCGATGCTCTGAACGTTCAGGTTCTTCTCGCTCCAGTCACGAGTCACCTCGGTCTCCTCCTTGGCATTTAGCCAGAGAAGTTCCGAGGTGGCCGACTGGATGAAGTCGTGCAAGGTGTCCAGGTCCGACAGCCTCTTGCTGGACGTGGCCAGGAGCTCGGCGTAGAGCTTCTGCAGGGTGCTGAGGTGCTGCGAGTACAGGGTCAGCTCTTCCCCGTGGAAGTTGTTCTTAGCTTGGACGCATTTGTCCACCTTGTTGTGGAACTGGTCGACGTTCTTGTGCTCGCGCTGGTGGACGTCGAGCTCGTTCTGCACACTCGGCAAGTCGGACCCGTAGTCGGCCTCGTGCAGCTGCTTCAGGGTGCTCTTGCACCAGTCGATGCAGTCGTGCAGGGCTCGGAAGTGAGGATTGGTGTCGACGAGTCTCGTCTCGTGGACGGTGGTTCGCTGCTTGGTGACAACTCGCTCCTCCACCGGGAACGAGACTGCCGACAGAGGCTGGACCAGTCTCTTGTGCAAAAGTGAGCGCAAGGCTACCCAACGTTGATGCAGTTTCTGTACTCTGAAGGCAAACGTCAAATCATTAGAAAACGGAGCTGGGGCAATTTAAGTGGTCTGATTAAAATCGCCAATTCGACCAACTGATTTGTATGGTGAAAAAATCACGGGTCCTTTTTTTTAACACCCTCGTGATGGTAAAAAATGCTACGTCAGGTCGTAATACAAGAAATCATCGCGTCACGTAGGGCCCACCTCTTGTGGAGCTCCAGGGCCTGGCTGTATCTGCCCTCGGTGAGGGTGTGCACGTCGGTGAATATATTCTGAATCTGAATCTCGGTATTTCGGATGTCCTGTTCGAGCAGATCGACGGCGTGCTTCGCCTCCAAGGGATGGAGGCGGTCGAGTCGACGAGCCTCGTCCTCGACGCGTCTCTCCAGCTCTTCGAGGCGATTGTCGGTGGTCTTCATCTCGCGGTGCACCTTTTCCGCGAGGCGCTGCAGGCGTTCCAGGCTACGGGATAGGAGAAAATAATCAAGGTCAATGTCAGAACACCCCCCGATGAGCGAAGGGTAATTTTTTTCCTCCCTCGTCCAGGAGGGAAGAATGGCGACCCTTAGGTGTTATGGCCATTCTATACATATCAAAACGTCAAAATATTCACAAAACTTGGATAAATAATTAATTCTTTGGTATATTTATATACATATGACGGTTTCAGGACATCTTAAAGAGTCCTCGTTCTCACCGCTTGATCTCGTCGTGAATCGCCTGCTCCCTCTCCTGGTGCAGCATCACGAGTCGGTTCCAGTTCTTGTCGATGACCTCGATGTGCAGTTCCGGCTCCATGTCGACCTCGCCGACGGCCTCGAAGTACTTCTGCAGGTCCCTGAAGATGTGGGTGAGCCTTTGCTTGTCCCTGTACCTTGGTGGGACCTCCTCGTTTTTGAATTTCGCGCTGTCGGTCGCCAGCTTCTTCATCTCGATCAGAGTCGGCGGGAAGGAGCGCTCCTGCATCAGGGTCATTTTTTCACGAATCCAAAGGTGGAGGGAGCTGGCCAGCTCGCGGTATTCCGCGGATCTTCGTTGGGCCTCTGCGTCATAGAGAGGATGGATTGAAGGGGGCTCCGGGAAAACGTCGTACAGAGACGAGATGTACGTGATCAGCGACTTCTCGTCAGGTTCCTGGGTGTCGACGTCTGAAAGGAAAATATAAAACAAATCACCAAATCGTCATCTCATCTCCTGGACCCCCCGTTAAAAAATTCACCATCTACATCCTCCCGCGCTGAAAAATAATCACCAGTCGAAATAAAAAATAAATAAATAATGTCAACAGCTCCGACATATCTATACAAATTAACCCGGAAAAATCCGATCGCAGACATTTTTTTATCCGCGAACTCGGATATGCTAAAAAAAAAAAAAAATCAAGGCAATTTAATGTGCACGCAGGACCTTTTAGTGGAAATCACTGCAAATTATAAAGTACACGTTATGAAGGGAATTAGGATTAGGTAAATGTATTTCATACCGCGTGGACCAGGTATCACCGTCGTTTTCGATATAGAATGTCAAATTTGGGGAAGACCGACGGCTCTTAAAATGAAATAGAGGTAACTACAGGAATAAGGGCCAGGATCGTCATCGGGAAAATCTCTAAGCGTCATCGATATGATTTACGAGCCGCGCCATGGCGAACAATGAGAAGGGAGCGGAACAACAGGTGGACAACCTGCAGTCCGAGCTTCGCTCAACCCTGACGACGCCGACTCCATCGGTGAGATTCGTCACGGGACGTTATTTTACAACCTGCACGAATTCGATAAATCTTGACCGATGAGGCGTTAAAAGAGGGAGAAATTACCGGGAGAATCACCGAAGGTACGATTTATCGAGATCATTTCTGAACGCCATTACCGATCGGGCACGAGCCGAGGAGCCTTTAAGGAAACGGTGCATAAGGTGCATAAAGTGCATAAGGTGCATCGATTGACGACCCGCAAGTGCAGTCGGACGGCGCCATTTATACCTACCGCTCCAGACTTAAGATATGAAAGTGTAGTCTATGAACCTTTTCTCCAAGCCGAATCGAAATATGATTTGAAATGTGGGGTAAATAAAAAAAATTAAAAACCGTTTATAATTATTACAGAAAAAAAAAAATAAATTTCACGGGCGTCAGAGCCTCTATATTCACGTGGTAAAATAAAATTTGGTGCACCCAGTTCGGAGAGGTTTGAGAAAAAGTTGGCTCCTCGAATGACAGTATTATATTAATTTATATTAAATTAAATTTTCGTCTTGCATATTGGAGGATTTTTTTATGGGTTGGAGGAGACGAAAACGATTGGTCCGGAATGCTCATCGAAGGTGCATCGATCATGTCTGGCAAGGTGAATTGGACACGGAAAACTCTGGGGGAATCTTCCTTCGCCAGGATGTCTCGGTCAGGATGCACGCCGACAAATGGCGGCCATTACGGTACCGTCTTGCATCCTCTTCGTATCGTTCTTCGAGGCCTCCCCGGCTCGTCGCGATGCACGTGCTCTATGTACGCTCGACCCCGATACAAGGATCTACATGGAGAAATCCTGCCGGATCCTTTCCATGGATAAATGTCTCGGCGTTTTCTCCGCGCGGTATGGAAGACTAATCCGCGATCGAACCATCCGGGATTACATCTAGCTACGTGGTCGCTAGGTGGAAGGATAGATGATAAAAATCCTGCAGGATCATCTCCTTGACTAAATGTCCTATATAAGACCGTTTCCTCCTGGTATTTTACCCAGGATTATTCCTCGGCATTTATCCAGGATTATTCCTAGGTTGAACAATCGCTCTTTATTCCACTTAACCTCGACGTAACGGATAAGCTATTAAGACCGCGAAAAGCACGAAAGGATACCGCGGGCATCCTCTTAACGGACTCTTTCGGTCCTTTCCCGAGAGCCTCGGGAAACAATGGTCTCGCACCGCGTCCCGGAGTGGCACAGGGTAATTACGTTTCAACGGGTGGAGGCGAGCGGGGCCGGAAGCGGCGGCGAGCACCGTGACCAAAAAGAATGCCCGAGCCGAGTCGCGCCCCGAAGAGGAAGACGAGGAAAAGGACGAAGACGAAGACGAGGAAGACCACTAAGGCGATACGAACGCGGCATCTGAAGTCCTACCTAATCTCATTTACGAATCCTTTCTACGTATTAAAGATGAAGAGGAAAATCAGAGGAGAATACTCAGGTAGACGCCTCACCTTCGGGGTCCAGGAGTCGAGTGACTCCGTACTCGCGTTCCGCGATAAAGAAAACGCGGTCCAGCCTTTCTCTGGCTTGGCAGGAGCGAGCACTCCTCCAGTCGACGAGGTCGGGTCTGTTCCTGTGCAACAGGGCACTGAAGGCCAGGCCGTCCCTCCAGGAGCCGGTGAAATCGGTCACCCTGACCCCAGGGTATCTGGCCGTGGATCGCCTCGCCCATCTCAGCAGAGCCTCTCTCGCGGTGACGTTCGCCTCCTGGCCCACGACGATGTCCGAGATCTGAAACCGAGTACCATCGTTAATCGACCCTGAAGAGGACCACTTCTGGAGTCCTCGAGACTCGTCCTCTTTTCCGCGTGAACGAGCCGCAAAGTGGACTCGCATTTCTCGCTATTGGAAGAGAGAGAGATAAATAAATAAGTAAATAAATAATAGAAAATAAGGAAGACTAGTCTCGGTATCGCCAAGCCGTCGTTCCGCTCGACAATGCGGACGACCCCGAAGAGAGACCGGCGCTCCGCTTCGGCAAGTGCATCGCCGCGTAACAATGTCTCCATTGTCGTCTAGTCGGGGTCCTTGGGCAACGATTTCCCCCCAGAGACCCAATTTCTCTATTGAAAATTGCTCGCCGATTTTTTCTCAAAATCCCCGTCTTCCCAAAAATGAGGAAAATGTGGAGGGTAAGACCAGGGACCAGGTTCTCGAGTTCGTATGATCAACTATCCCAAGCGAAATTATTTGCACACTTCTTTTGAACGATGACCAATGACGTGACTTCGCAACAATGCAAAATTTTCGTTAGTATTTATTTATATGCGAAAAGAATTCGTAGAAACTCGAAAATCGGGTGCTCTCATCGGAGTCCGAATTCTCGAGTTCGTACGATCGACTTTTGCATGCGAAATTAACATTTTTTTGCACACGACCTATCGACTATCGTAAGCGAAATTATTTGCACACTTCTTTTAAACGATGACCAATGACATGACTTCGCAACAATGCAAAATTTTTGTTAGTATCTGTTAGTATGCGAAAAGAATTCGTAGGAACCCGAAAATCGGGTGCTCTCATCGGATTCCGAATTCTGGAGTTCGTACGATCGACTTTTGCATGCGAAATAAAAATTTTTTTGCACACGACCTATCAACTATCGCAAACGAAATTATTTGCACACTTCTTTTGAACGATGACCAATGACATGACTTCGCAACAATGCAAAATTTTTGTTAGTATCTGTTAGTATGCGAAAAGAATTCGTAGGAACTCGAAAATTGGGTGCTCTCATCGGAGTCCGAATTCTCGAGTTCGTACGATCGACTTTCACATGCGAAATAAAAATTTTTTTGCACACGACTTTTAAACGATGACCAATGACGCGACTTCGCAACAATGCAACAATTTTTTTTACGCGAATCCATTCGTATACGAAAAAAAAAAATTCGTAAGAACTCGGTATAGGGTCCCAGTTGGGGATAAGTCCCATTTGCTTTCGCCTCGCTATTCCGCCTGGAGAGACGAGTCTCGAGCAAGGAAGTGCAAGAGCAAATTGAACGGTAACTCGTTTACATTACGATCAACCTATCACGACATCCGCCGAGCACTGGCAGGATAATACCCTCGGCCTATCGGAGGTGCATCGAACCCCGGAGTCGACTCTTCCTTAACCCGGGGCGATCCTTTTAACTAAGCGGGGCAAAAGGATTCCCATTCCATCGAGAAATCCTCTAGCCGGTCGGTAATGGTCGATCGTAATTACCGCACCCCGATATAATACAGCTGTTTCAGAAAAATGTCCTAACTGGATTTTCAGGCCGACTCTAGAATCGACGGAATCCAGGCTCGAGGTAGACACCAAGAGAAAAAAAAAAAAATCCATTAAACCAAAGAATAATTATTTCATTTGGGCTAACTCAAATGAATAGTCACAATTGTGAAGAAATTTAACAGCCAATTTATTGGAGTTCATTTGAGTCGAATTAACAAAATCTTTCTTCGGCACTATTCGGACAAAAATCATTCTCTGGTTGAGTGACATTTTTTTTTATCTCAATGTACGAGTTCGATCCGAGGCTTTATTCTTTCTTTACGTATTGAACGCCTCGTTGGATATCTCATTGGATGCCTCGCTAGATTTCATTAAACGCCTCGTTAACCGATGGCTCAGGGTGGATAATGATAATAATAAAAAAAATAATAATATAGATAAAAAGTAAGATTTAAAATTTCATATTTCTCTACTCTTGTCACGAAGTGTTAGGATGGAAAGGGCACGTGGGTTCTGACATTCCGAGTTGAAAAAATCGGGAAATGAAGCAGATCGCAATTTTTTTATTTTATTTTTATTTTTTTTTAGGGGGACCTTAAAGAGTCTCTTCGGACCTTGACACCATATCCCGGATTTATTTCGGTACTCTGTTCGTTCCCTTCTTTACAATGGGCACACGTGGGAGACACGCATTACCCGGAGATGTAAGGAGGCAAAATGTTCCGCGCGGGATTTCGCAAGGGCTCCGCGCTGCTCTCGTACGACCGCATACGGATAAGTGCGGACAAGTACGGAGGCAAACGGCCGCATACGGTCGCGGCGGGACTCCAGCGTCGCCATAACGAGTGTCCGGCTTTCCTGACGTCATCCCAGCCGACGCCCGGAACATGTCGCATCGTCGATTCGGACTTTGGAGGCGAGTCCGAGTCGATTGCATGTCGATTGCGAGTCGATCTCGAATGGAACTCCCCGCGGCGATCCAACGAAAAGGACGCGGTTCTCGTACCCTCGCGCCGTAAAAAATGAACAAATGATAAATCCCCTCCCCAGAGTCACTAATCCCAAGATTACAGATTCCATCAGAAATTCAAGATAAATTTATCCTAAAATCTGGGTCCCAGACTTTCCTCTATTTGGCCCAATTTAGCCGAATAAATTGTATATCACTCGTTTGTTCGAGCAGGGGTAGGATATTTTTCTGGTGTTGGTGGAAATTAATTTTTTAATTCAGGAAGCATTTTTTTTTTTTTTCGAGAAAGATCTCCACTGGTTATATCTACGTTTGATATCATTGCAATTGGTGCAATTACCCCTGCAGCGAGAGGGAGAATTGAACCGCGACGGTGTCTTTTGTGGGAAGTGCACATTCCTTTTCTGTTTTTTTTTTTTTCTGGTGGAAACTGCCTATCGATAGGTCGTGAATTGCTAGTCTTAGCTTCTCGAGGTGTCAATATTAACCCGCCGGTTGGTACACCTGTGCGCACACCTGTCCGCGGAGGTGCACGCTGCAATTATGCACTCGTGCAGTGAAACGCCTCGGCGGTTCGGGAGAGAAATCCTCGCCTTTTCTCCGTTTCGCAAGTTGAATCTTTCACCCTAGAGATGAGTCCTCTCGAGGATACAAAAGCGATCCTCGGATTAAGAAACTCGGTAGAGCCTCGAGCCAAATACACATAAATTTAAGCGCTTAAAGAGCGTAGGTAGGTGCAAGCCGGTTATAAGCGCGGTAGATGCGAAATATGAAAATATCACCCTGCGAGAACGAAAATTCACGAGTTCGAGTGAAATTCTTTGAATTAATTAATTAAAAATATTCCCTTGGTTCGATGAAACATTCTTTCTCGCGGCCATATACATATAGATTCAGCTCTTAAATTCAGATGTACAGCTGTAAAGGGTGTCCAACGATGTACGGGAAATCAGTAAGGGAATTAAATAAATGGAGCATAAATTAATGAAATCGGTGAAATAAATAGAACAATATAAGTTGAACCGACAATGTCGATAAAATGTACATTAATTATATAGACCTGTGATTTGAATTTAAGAGTATCGTCGATAGAACGATATCGCGATCACGGAGGATCAAGATGAATATAAGTTGAACCGACAATGTCGATAAAATGTATATTAATGATATAGACCTGTGATTTTAATTTAAGAACATCGTCGATAGAACGATATCGCGATCACGGGGGATCGAGATGAATATAAGTTGAACCGACAATGTCGATAAAATGTATATTAATTATATAAACCAGTGATTTGAATTTAAGAGTATCATCGATAGAACGATATCGCGATCACGGAGGATCGAGATGACGAGGGTCTCGATCTTGCGAGAGGTGCGAAGTGTACACTGGGAGACATCAATGCCCTCCCATCCTGCACAGGCGATGCCGTATCTGCAGGGGAGGCATTTATGTCCGCCATTGTACACTGGGAGACATCAATGCCCTCCCATCCTGCACAGGCGATGCCGTATCTGCAAGGGAGGCATTCATGTCCGCCATTGTACCGTCGAGAAAGCGAAGTCGATGCCGAAATCGCCGCCTCCGCACAGAATGCCGATCTCGCGCGCCAAATAAGCTCATCCAAAACACTCGGATCGGCGCCGATTGCGTAGGGCACGTACAATTCGCCCGATCGTGGGTGGGACCGGTTCGGAAGAGTCCCACGCGATCGGACTGGATGGTCTCCGAGATTCGCGACGCGTCTTCCATCTGTCCCCGGACGTGGGAGTAGCGATTCCGTCGATCCTCCGCATCGAAGAGGCCAATTCGGTCTCTAGATCTCCATAGATCGCTACAAAGAACGCGTAGGCGAGTCTCAAATTAGGTTTCCACATGTTTACGGTACTCCGAAATGCAACCAAATGCGATCTCCGATTCGGAACGGGACTTGATTTGCATTGATACTCTGGAAAAAAAAAAAAGAAATGGCATCGAGCCAATGGAATACTTCGTAAATTCAAGGAATAATGATTCGACCATATTAAACTCAGATAAATAGTCATCATTTTGCGGCACACCGAAATGCGATCTCCGGTTTGGAACGAGACTTGATTTCCACTGATACTCTGGGAGAAAAAAAAAAGAACAAAGAAATGGATTCGAGCCAAAGGAATACTTTGTAAATTCACGGAATAATGATTCGACTAGATTAAACTCAAATAAATAGTCATAACTTTGCGGCACCCTGGAATGCATCCCAAATGCGATCCCCGGTTCGGAACGAGACTTGATTTGCATTGATATTCTGAAAAAAAAAAAAAAAGATATGGCATCGAGCCAAAGGAATACTTCGTAAATTCAAGGAACGATGATTCGACTAGAATAAACTCGAATAAATTGGCGTAATTCCGAAGACACATGTTGTCGAATTTATTCGAGTTTGGGTTAAATAATAATATTTTTAAACGGTTAAATTTTTCTCTGGGTTAATGAAACTTGGGAGGGGTGGATACCGAGTGGGCTCTTTTTAAGGCAAGGAAAAGTGCTCTCAGAATCTCGTG